AATCTGCAACATTAAAAATATTGGAAATTCCCATGGAATCCGGTAACTCAATAACATAGGCATTATCATTGATCCGTTTGAGCACTTTGTAAGGACCATATTTCTTCGGTTTAAGCTTGCTGTAAGTGCCAACTGGAAACCTCTCCTTCCTCAGAAATATCATCACAGAATCGCCTTCTTGAAACACTTTAACACGTCGATGCCTATCCGCAGCAGCTTTGTACTTAGCATTTGTTTGGTCAAGTTTCTGCTTGACCTCATCTCGAACGGCTACCACTTCCTCAGCCAAATTTTTCGCTGCCATACTGGTTTGCTGGCCTCTAGGCAATTTCACCAAATCTACAACATGGTTAGGTATAGCAGTATAAACAATGGAAAATGGAGACTTCCCAGTAGCGCTATGGACTGCACTGTTGTATGCAAACTCCACCTGCGGTAATGCATAATCCCATTGTTTCGGCTTCTCTCCACAGACGCTTCGCACCATATTGCCCAATGTCCGGTTTGTAACCTCAGTCTAGCCATCAGTTTGGGGATGGGCAATGCTGCTATGATTCAAAGTAGTCCCAAACAGTCTCCACAAAGTGATCCAAAAATGACTCAAGAACTTGGTGTCACGATCAGATGTAATGGATGTAGGAACCCCATGCAAGCGAACAACCTCCCTGAAAAACAGTTTGGCTGTATTTGATGCATCGGCAGTCTTTTTGCAGGCTATGAAATGCGCCATTTTTGAGAACCGATCAACCACCACAAATACAGAGTCCACTCCCCTTTGTGTTCGGGGCAATCCAAGGACAAAATCCATAGCAAGATCCTGCCAAATATCGTTAGGAACTGGTAATGGCATATATAATCCAGTGTTTTGTACCTGCCCCTTCGAAGTTTGACAAATGTAGCACTTGCGCACAATAGTTCCAACATCACGTTTGAGCTGTGGCCAGTAAAATCTCTCCTCCATCAATGCAATTGTTTTGTCACGGCCTAGGTGGCCACTCAACCCTCCACCATGGAAGTCCTGAATGAGCTTCTCCCTTAAAGAAGAAACTGGAATACACAGCTGGTTGCCTTTGAACAAATAACCTTCATTGAGAAAGTAATATGCCATTGGCTCTTGATTAGTGCACTTAATCCAAATTTCCCGGAAATCATCGTCACCTGCATATAATTCCTTCAGACATTCAAACCCCACAACTTCTTGAGTCAGCGTGACTAATAATGAAGCTCTCCTACTCAGCGCATCTGCCACACGATTGGTCTTGCCGGAAATATGCTTGATAACGAACGAAAATTTCTGCAAAAAAGTCATCCATCTAGCATGCATTTTATCAATATTTTTCTGGCTGTTAATATACTTCAACGCTTGATGATCTGTAAACAAAACAAATTCCTTCTGGATAAGATAGTGCTCCCATTGCTTCAAAGCTCGAACAACCGCATAGAACTCTTGGTCATAAGTACTCCACTTTTGACGTGCATCGCTCAACTTTTCAGAAAAGAACGCAATTGGCCGTTTGTCTTGTGAGAGCACAGCTCCGACTCCCACAACGCTGGCATCACATTCAACTTCGAAAACTTTCTCAAAGTTTGGAAGAGCTAGAACCGGTGCGGTGCAAAGCTTTTCTTTTATTTCTGCAAAGCTTCTCTCTTGCTCCTCTCCCCAGCTGAACCGGCCCTTCTTCAAACATTCTGTGATAGGTGCAGCAACGGTGCTAAAATGCTTCACAAATCTTTTGTAAAAGGTGGCCAAGCCATGGAAGCTTCGAACTTCAGAAACTGTCTTTGGAGCTGGCCAGTCAAGGATTGCCTTGATCTTCTCGTCATCTACCTGGATACCATTCTCACCAACAACAAAACCCAAGAACAGTAGCTTATTTGTGCAGAAAGTACATTTTTTAAGGTTCACATACAACTTATTTTCTCTCAACACATCTAAAACTTGTCTCAAATGCACAAGATGTTCTTCTTTTGTGGTATTGTAAATTAAAATGTCATCGAAATAAACAACGACAAAAGAACCAATAAATGGTCGAAGAACCTGATTCATGAGTCGCATGAAAGTGCTAGGTGCATTTGACAATCCGAATGGCATCACCAACCATTCAAATAATCCGTCCTTGCTCTTGAACGCTGTTTTCCATTCGTCTCCAGGTCGTATGCGAATCTGGTGGTATCCGCTTTGCAAATCTATCTTGGAAAACACCCTTGAGCCGCCAAGAACGTCCAGCATATCTTCTAACCGTGGAATGGGAAACCTGTACTTGACTGTTATCTTGTTGATTGCCCGGCTATCAACACACATTCGCCAAGTTTTGTCTTTCTTTGGAACCAGCAAAACAGGAACTGCGCAGGGACTCAAACTCTCCCGGATAAATCCTTTCCGCAGTAATTCTTCAATCTGTTCTCTCAGGATGTCATTCTCCTTGGGGCTCATCCGATAATGGGGCAGATTCGGAAGGCTAGCTCCAGGCACCAAGTCAATTCGGTGCTGTATGTCCCGCATAGGAGGCAGCTCGTTTGGCAGATTTTCAGAAAGTAGTTCCTGAAATTGATTCAAAATCTGCTGCACATCTTGTGGAATGTCACCTTCTCCTCCGCCAATTTTCAACAACCCCTTCAACACCAAGGGACAAAAACACTCCGCTTCTTTGACAGCCTCGTTCAACTCCTGCTCGCTGCGAATTAGGGTTAGGAAACTAGAACTCCTCGTCTTGGGCTCAACAGATTGCTTTGCGGGCTGTGTGGTTGCCATTGCAATTTTCCGGTTGTTCCAAGAGAACAGAATTACATTATCTCGTCCCTTGAAAGTTGCATCCACATCAAATTGCCAAGGTCGCCCTAACAAAATATGGCATGCATCCATGTCAATAACATCACATAATATTTCATCTCTGTAATGCTTACCAATTGACAGTGGCACTCGGCAAGTCTCAGCTACACGAACCGAAGGGCCTTTTTTAACCCAACCTAGTGAGTAAGGGCTGACATGAGGCTCCGTAGATAGCTGCAAATACTCCACCAATTTCTTTGACACGAAATTCTCGCAACTTCCATTGTCGACGATCACATCACACACCTTGTTTTTGATTGAGCAGAGGGAACGAAAAATACTATGACGCTGCCCTTCCTCCTTTGGTGCCAAAAGAACTCTCTGCAAAACCAAGGTAATCTTCTCCATTCCTTCCTCAACTGCAAATTCAGCCCCTGCATAATCATCTTCCCCGACTTCATCGTTTTCCTCATCTTCATCGGCTTCTTCGATAAAGTTGGCCTGCTTCCGCTCTGGACAAACATTAGAACGATGCCCTGGTTTTTGGCAACGGTAACATATGTCCGTCATGGGCTTAGCATACGGATTCTGGGACTGGTTTCGGGGCTGCCCTCTGTTGTAATTCCGGCTGCTACCTTCGTTGAAATTTTTGTTTTGGCCAACTGTTGCTGGTTTTGTCGATCCTCCAAGATTCTGCTGCTGTGCTTTCCCCTTATCTCCTGAGCCACTAGAAGCACCAGCAGTATATTCAGAGGCTTCCGTCGTGTTCCTGCGGAAGTTGGGTTGGCGTTTCTCCTTCTCCAACAATTCAGCCTTCAATGCCATGTTAATCGCCTCCTGCAAAGTCCATATATTCTGCATACCAATTTTTTCCTGGATGGAAATCTTCAGCCCATTGTTGTACCTCGCGACCTTTTGGTTGTCAGTCTCGGTCAAATGGTTTCGCTCTGCCAAACGCATGAATTCTTCGGTATATTCAGAAACTAAACGGGTGCCTTGCGCACAGCCTAGGTACATACGGTAGAGAATCTGCTCATAATCTGTGGGCAAGAATCGTTCCATCAGAAGCGACTTCATCTTCCACCATGTTCGAACCCGCTGCTTTCCTTGCCTCTGCCGTAAATTTTGCAATTGATCCCACCAAACAGCCGTTGTAGCTTTAAGACGGAAAGTTACCATCTTCACCATCTTATGCTCAGGAACCTCCATAATATAGAAAAACCTCTCCACTTCTACAAGCCAATCTAAGAAGTCTTCAATCTTCAGATTTCCCCAAAAGTTGGGAATTTCTGCTTTAATCCGATAGTCGCCAAAATTCTCGTAATTACGATTACGAGGATTATTAGCCGGTGGTGGTGGTTCTTCAAGTTCTTCTTCTGACTCTGACTCACTATCCGGAATAAGTTGCCTCCTATTATCTCTTCTCTCGCCATCTCTACCTTCTCTTCGATTATCATCCCTGCCTTCTCTTCTTTCGTCATCCCTGCCTCCTCGCCTATGGTTGCCACCAAGAGCTTGCAACAACAATTCTCGCATCTCCCCAAATTGGGTGGTTAGGTTGTCGATCCGTTGGTTTTGAGCGTCCAGATCCGCTCGAGTAATTGGGGCTGGGACATCAGCTTCACGATCACCCATGATAAGACAAGAATACCAAGACGGGAGAGACCCGCTCTGATACCACTTGACGCAGCACAAGCAAATAAGGTTTCAAACGAAAACCTTGAGTAACAAGGAAACTGGAATCCACCAGAAATTAAGAGAAACTCTCTTTGATTAATTTGATTAAAATATGAACTCTGAAAAACGTTAGACGAACTCATCTAAATACACAACTCTCAACCCTTGTAACTGCTAGGGGAGTTATTACAATAAAACAGAATTAATTCGGAGACTTAACTACGTAACTCCGAAACTGAAAAAAAAACAGAATTTATTTTGGGAATGAACTATGTAACTTTGAATGCAGTTTTGAAAGGCCAAACGACTCCAGAATGCCAAAATCCATCGTACGTCACAGCAAAGCGGTGAGTTTGACTCGTGGCATCGTTCCTTTTCCGAAATGGTATTTTGCTCCCTAATTGGAGCTCGGACGACAATTCTGCAAATTCCCACCACGTCCCTTTTCTTGCTCAACCGCGATAAAATCTGCCATCGGTTCTACATCATGAATGTTTCTTGTTGAGTCATGAGCCTATGCCATTCGGATACATATTCCAGATTACATGTATAATCAGTCAGCTTCTCCATTTCCAAAATCTCCGTCATCCAATGAATGGACCTTTCTTTCATCCTCTGAATAAGATTTTGGCATGCTCTTCTGGCAGACAGTTGAAGCTGATAATATTTTTCTGTATTTCCCATTAACACATACAAAACCACATTCTCAATATAATTCCAAACCTGCTCAACAAACCCAAGAGGTATGCCTGAAATTCCCTCCACTTTTCCCCGCAAAATTTGTCGGTCACCCGGGAACTCGTCATTTCTCCCTTCAAAAGAATCTTCTGAAGTGATTCTTTGGATTCTTCAATGATCTGCATAAAAGCAGTCATGGCCTCAGCAACAGTTGTCAGAGTTTTCGGCAATTTGTTGAGTTCTGAAAGGTAAGAATTCAGCTTGTCATCGATCTTCTTTACAATAACAGGCAAGTTTCTAGCTATGCTAATAGCTTGAATTTGGACCAACTTGTCAGCCAAAACCTGAATTCCAACCATAGACTTATCAATCTTTGAAAGAAAGGGATGAGTTTTAAATAATCGATCCGCGATAGCCCTCGCCTCCTCATAAGTTTCATCTCGAATCCGGTTCCTTACACAGACATAGCCAAGACCAATGTCCACATCATCAGCTGTAACCTTCTCCAGCAGTCCCTCTGGTGCCATGTCAACCTTTGTAACCACAGCCAGAGTCCTCTCACCAGTTTTGTCCACACTCCGCGACATACTAATTGACTCACATGTGCTAAAATCAGTAGAAGTAGATAAAACATTCAAAATGATGCTCTCATCTGGTTTTATATACTTCATGATCATATCTTTGATTTGATCATAGATATTCTCAGGCTGGCCACGAACTGGAACCCTAGTGATTCCAGGGAGGTCAACCATGGTCAAATCAGGCAAACTTGACCTCTGCCTAACAGAGAAATCATGGATAAATAGAGAAAAAAGATACATGAACATGACATGCAGAATGTGAAAGATGCAGACATAGGAATCTTTTACCTTAATATGGGAATTTATGCTTTGGTTTTTGTTTTACATCGGAAGGGAACTTATGCTTTTGTACATCAAATAGTGGCCGAAAATGCTTGAACCACTCACTTCAATAATGCATGACAAGTTACAACACAAAATGGTGTCTACACTATCAAAAGTATCAGTGAAGTTCTCTTTAGTGTTCACACTATCACACGAATTTAAACGCAAGAATATAAGAGTGAAAACTTTTAGACCATCTCGAAAGGTAAAAGACTCAAACCCGAAATTTCACCTCCAGAAATACAACTTTTCATCTATACATAGGACTCAAACAGTTTTTTTTTGGGTGGGAGAGGATGGCAGGCCTTGTTGTGGCTTCAACCCTGTGCAAGTGGGCAATAGTATTATTCCAGAATATGGACCGGTGTATCTACAGTAACGGCACGTGGAGTTTTATGTTATCTTGGACTCCCGTGTGCCTTCAAATGTGAAGGCCTCAAAATAGTAGGAGTTCAAATTTGAGTGATTAGAAAAGATGAGATTGCTATGTCATGTGCAATATATTTTAAAATATATGATATAGCAATACAATTACTGCAATTAGATTACTGCTAGCCCTCTCAGAAAATGAAAAACCTATGTGTAAGTGATTTTGTAATTTTGGCCCCCTCCATGCTAAGAATCCTAGCTCCGCCACTGCACTTACATATTACATTTCGTGTTCTTAAGAAATCTACATATTATATTCAAGAATCAAGCCCAATCGCATAATAGTAAGAAAAGGAAAAGACTCAATATTTAGAGCACACTTGGAGCCCTAAGTGGTGTGCTCTCCAAGAGCATAGCATTTCAGGGCATGATCAAGCTGATCATCTAGTTTCATACAGGACTTGCACTCTTCCTTGTTTGAAGCCAAAAGAGAATTCTTATTAGGATAGGCACGATTCATATTTACATGGTTAAGAGCACAGTAGAAAACGAGGGTGCATTTGTCGTTAACATCTTCATCCAAAAGGTCTTGCGTGACGCTGAGATAAACATAAATGTAATGGGCATTGAGATGGTTGAAGTTGGAGGTCTAAGGAAGTACACACATGTCCTGTTGTTTCAAGCTTTCGACTTGAAAATGCGAATGACTGCGTATTGGAATATTGTGCTGAGAAGGTTGATTGATATCATGGGTTTGCGTTTGCAGCTGAGTGTCTCAAACCTTGTGAACAAGGGCCTGGAGATGGAGATTATGAATGAGCTACCGGGACCTAACCATATTGGTGGGATTGAGCGGATGCTGTTGGAACCTCCATCAATGGGCAGTGAAGCGCCAGAAGCTCATCAAGAGCATCAAAAAGCTCAAGGAGTCTAAAGAGGTTGTGTGTAAGATCATGGACGACAGGTTTACTTTCGCCGATTATCTTGTGTGATAGATAACTAAGGGGTCCAGTTAAATTATAGTATGTTTCGTGTGAAAGAAGGCATTTTGCGAATGATGTGTGGTTGATCTGTTTGTACTTAATTATGGATCTGCATTTTGTTTATCATGTACCTGGTTGGTTGATGTTCTTGTGTGGATGATCTGTTTCTACTTAATTATAAGCACATTCTGTTTTTGTCTTTTGGGTTGCTAAACCTTACCAGGCTTGTTCCTGGAATAGGAGGAAATTTCTATCCTCTGTTCCTTCTCTTATTTCATGACACTGTGGGTGATGGTAGAAACACCTTCCCTTGTCATGATCACAATTTGAACCCTTTTTGGGGCTTTTCTCTTTGAGTTGGGACCCTTGTTAGTCTTCCATGTGGTCAATGGGAATCTATTGGCATTTGCTTTTGCCACTCTCAATGGGAATAATTAATCACTTCCCAATGGAGCTCTGGCCTTCTAGGCACTTGTTCTTTAGAATGTTAGATTCAATTAAAATGGACATGAATCCTAATCAGTGATTGGTGAGCTTAAAATATATCATGGACTGGATATGGGTATTGGACACTAATACAAAATAAAAGCGACTCCATAACCCATCACCAGACATGGGTTTATAACAAAGTCGTCGTCTCTTTTTGAAAAGAAAGTCGTCTTCTCTGGTTTGCCTTATTTGTCATCTTTTATTTTCCTCCTTCTCCTCTCTCCTCTCTTCTATTCTCTCTCTATCTCCTATCTTTCTCCCTCCTCTCTCTCTCTCTCTCTCTCTCTCTCTTTTATTTGGCTCATACAAGCTTCAACTATATATATATATATATATATATATATATATAGTCCCCTTCTATTGAGGGATCCCTCAAATAATTTTATTTGAGGGACGCCCTTTAGGGTATCCTACAATTTTTTTTCCAACGATCCAAACCATATACATTTTAGGTCTTCATTCATAGATCATCCTTACAAAAAATTAGACAAATCGGAAACCGTTTCGACATCCAATTGTGTCTTACAAAATCAATGAACACGGTGCTTCAAGAAAGTACTAAAATTTCAATAACTCAATTGAGTGGTCAAATGATATCGGATTCAAGTGATTTTTTGTAGAGATGATCTTTGAATGAGTATCTACAAAATAGACGGTTTGGATTAGTGAAATACAATCCATAGTGGGGCCTACAAGGGGTATCCCTCAAATAAGCTTATTTGAGGGATCCCTCAATGGAAGCTTATATATATACATAGGGTATACTAGTGATTTGCCCCCTGAACTTGTACCTAACTTTCAATTGACCCCCCTATCCTTTTAAAAAATAAAAATAAAAATAAAATAAAAGTAAGGATATGAACTCATTTTTTTCATTAATTCCCCCCTACCGTCTAAATTCTTAACATTTCATCCAATATTCAGTTAAATTATTCTAAAAAATTATTTTTTTAGAAAAAATTGAAGAAAAAGAGTAAACCTAATGCCAACCCTTTCCATCTCCTCCCTTCCTCCTCCCATTCCCCCATGACCACCATCCTTTACTCCAGACCAATCCCCCACCCCCACACCCTTCAACCCACAGACCCACCTCCTCCTCTCCCTTTCTATTCTTTCACCCACAGACTCATCACCACCATCCCCCAATAGACCTTCCTCAGTTTCCGCCGTCGCTGCCTCCCCTCTCTCTCTCTCTCTCTCTCTCTCTCCTCTCCTCTCTCTCTCTCTCTCTCTCTCTCTCTCTCTCTCTCTATTTTTTCTTCAGTCTTAAATACTTGGATTTGCAAAAAAGATCAAAATAAAATAAAATCTAATAGAATTTACCCCCCATGCCATCGGATAGCATTTGGGGTGGGAGGTCGTGGGGAAGAAGAAAAAACATGGGGAGGGTTGGGGTGGGGTGGAGGGGCCATTGGAAGCCATGTGGAGATAGGGAGAGTTGAGGGGCGAGAGAAAAAATAAATGGAGAGGGTGGGGGTGAGGGAGAGAGTGATTGGTTGGATGGGCCCCTCTCTTATTAAATTTTTTTTCTTTCATTTTAGATTTCTTATTATTTATTTGTGTATTTAATTATTTTAACATATAAAACAACCATTTTGCCCTCATATTTAACGGCAAATTATATGAAATGTTGCAGATTTAGACGGCATGGGGAAAATTGGCGAAAAAAGTTCTTATCCTTAATTTTCCTTATAAAAAAAAGGATAGGGGTCAATAGAAAGTTAGGTATAAGTTCAGGGGGCAAATTACTAGTATACCCATATATATCTCCCCTTACTAAAAAAAAACTTCAGATTTCTCTCTACTTTGTTTTTTATATTATTATTACATTTTTTTATATTTTGATGATTGTTGTCTTGCTCTTTTGGGTTAGATGCCGAATGATGTATATTTTTGTTTTTATTGACCTAGGTGGGAAACTAATAATTGATATGAGTTTGAGTTTCTGGTTTAATTCTTGCAAAAGTTGGGGTTTTTTCTTCAATTTGAGGCAAAAAGTTAGGAATTTGCATCTGATTCTTGTTAAGAAATTAAAAATTAAAAATTTTGAAACTCAATCCCAATCTATTGTTTGGTGCAAAATTGAGTGGGGACTGGACTTCAAATCCAAGCCAGCCCAGTCTAATGTTTCAAAACCCATTCTAACTAGTTCAAGCTAGCTTATCAAACAGGGTTTGAGTTTCATCCTCTTTGGTTAGCCATCAATCGAAGGTACGCTAGCCACTGTAGACAGACTTTATGCGTTCTTTGTAATTCTTTCCTTGACTCTCATGAACATTTGTTCTTTGTTAGTATTTAAATTGGCCGTTGACGTCAACTTACCCAGGCAACAGCCCAAGCAAGTCTTGCCTTCGGGCTTGCCCCAATTTCGTGGGCCCACTTCTTGCCAAGGCAACTTTTCCTTCGTGGGGGTTATTTTTGGAGCCTAGCCCCCCTTTTACTATGCGTGAAAGTGCTCTAACGCACTTGTAGAAGAAGAAGACATGACCGACCAAACACACGATACCTACCTCATTTTCTCATAACTATATTCCTATATTCATATCTTCTAAGATTCCTACCTACATTAAAGTGTCTCATTCGAAAAAAATATCAAACAAACAAAAAGGAATAGCTGTAAACTATGGTCTGTGTTTCACATTGTGCCCTTCAATTATTCTTTTATACAAGCGATGTTGGGCTTCAATTATTTGTTTGATCAACATGAGCTTTTGAGAAGTTCTTATTTGCCCTTTACCATCTTCTTTTGTCACAATTTCTATTAATTTAATCACGCACATAGCTTTTTTTTAAGTGACATTTTTGTTCATTCACCTCCACTTAATCCAAACCACAATAACAATATCCCTCTCTGCATCTCTCTCTCTCTCTCTCTCTCTACTTGCTTTCTTTTTCTTTGGTCACAATCGCTACGCAGAAAGGCCATCTACATAAAATATGCATCCTCATCATTCAACAGAGGCAGATGAAATACAAGACGTACGAGGGAACATTGGAGCTTTCCAAAAGTTATAGAGGAATAAATACCAAAGCAAAGGTCTTAAGGTTAAACTGGAATATGGTTCTTTAATTTGGGAAAAAAGAAGAAAAAAGAAGAAGAAGAATATGGCTCTGTAGTTGAAAAAAAGAAGGAATATGGTTCAAACACTACGATACTTTCCGCTAAGAGCTTCCACAGTGGGAAGGTGTAAATTCGGGGCTGTAAAGTTGCTTTTCCATCCCATTCTATGGGGATAATGAACTGTACTCCCACATGTCTATTGAACACTATACTTGTCATATATGCCAAAGGTAAGTAAGCCATCTTTTACTGGAAGGAATACTATGTTTTGATTGTAATGTAGAATAAGTTTATGTTCACCCGTTTTGATTTAATCCTGTGATGATAGGGTAAAGTTTTCCATTGATTTGAAAACCATTGATGGTCAGCAAATCAACTTTCTTTGGTGTGCGAGCGTGCCACTGTTAACAGTTAAAAAATCCTAACAGACTTATGAAACAAAGATAACTTGGGCTCTAAGTTACTGACTTTAACAAGTGATTGTGAATTTGGGTGATGAATATCTCTCAAGTAAGTTCTTTTCTTGCCTTAGACTGGTGAGGACTTCATAATTTATCACAGTATACTGGTAGTTTTGGACAAAATGAATATTGAAAATAAATCAAAACTGTTTTTTCAAGAAAAACTGCTTGTTATAGAATTTTTAGGACAAAAGTGAACTGCCATGTTTGCAAGGAGAACAGAACATTGGGCTTTGATTTCTGCCTGGATCGTTGCCTATGACTCAGGCTGGACTGCTTACAACTATGTTGGATTCACACGTTAGCACCTTCAACTAATGAGGTTCAGTTGGAAATCGATACCAATGTTGGGATTGGCAAAGCTCTTAATCCATTCTAGCCATGGGAAGGCTTGCAAGATGGAAAAAATTGAGATTTCTTCAATTTGGACGGGGCTGTGAGTGGCTGGATTAATGATTATTGAGCTGGAGTTGCACTACAGCACATGTTCTGCTTGATTATGAATCATCCAAGAGCTATTCTGGCGATTTTGAGAGCTCAAGACATCTCTGTAAATTTGTTGAGGTCTTCATGTTATGAAAAACCTGAATTCTGCTTGATTTGGCTTGTGCTGAATCAAATTTGTAATGAGAGAAATTTCATTTTCTTTCTAAATTGTTTTTCTGAATTGAACTGAAACTAGAAACCTAAGTTCTGGCTGATCTGTCTTTTGTGAATCAAAGAGATTTGATTGCTTCGAAGTCTGAAGACTTTCTGAGATCAATTGATCTTGTTTGAATTTGCCAGTGTGACTTTGAGACTTTTTATTTTGATTGAATTTTTTTGGTTGTCTTTAATCATGTTCACCTCCTCTCATATTTATAGAGAATCTGATCTTTAATATCTAGTGGCAGATCTTTTTGAAAAAGATTTCCCTTTCTAATGCAGAGAAGGGGGAAGTTATTAACTTGGCCAAAAAGAACCATCAACAGTTAGTTTCTGTGATGGTCTATTTGCTTTTTTTAAATAAAAAAAACCAACTCTCTTGTTCCCTAATTGTTTCTTGCAAAGATAACCTATCATGATGGTTCATTTGCTTGTTCTGGCGAACAACTCTCCTGCTCCCTGTTTATCTCCTGAAAATGTAACCTATTACGATGCAGAGCCTTTTTGCATATAGAAAGGGAACATAGTCTTCTTTTCCTATCTTTTCAAACAGAGAGCGTTTTCTGGTTAACAGGTTTTTATTAACTCTCCATCACTTCCTTTGCCATAGTCGAGAATTTTGACTTTTCAACGTCAGAAATTCATGTGGGTTCTTTTTGAGAAAAGACCTTTCTAAAAAATCTGTTGACTTGCACTCTGGGATTGAGATCAACAATGATGAGAGTTTTTATTTTTTATTTTTTTTAAGAAGCTGGGCCTAATCTGAAGTAAGGGAGGGTCGTGTGGGATCATATTGGTACCATGAGGACACACAAGCGTTTTTTTGATGACGTGGACCACTACAAGATGATCAAGGCAATGTGCAAGCTTTCATGTAGCGAATGTGACAAGACGGAGGAGCAATCAAATGACGGCCCGAAGCGTCGAGGGAAGATTCGAAACGTTGAACAGCTGAAGGGCCATTTATTTCACGAACATAGGTTGTTCATGTGCTCTTTATGTTTGGAAGGGAGGAAGGTAGAATCCATAGACATGATTGCTATGAGACTTGAGATTTATCGTATATTTACACTTTAAGCAGAGCTTTTGTTCTATTGTATCCTTTCGGTCTTCTTCATTATCCTTTTTTTGTGTGTAATCCATTGGCTTCTTATGCACTACACATGCGTTTATTTGTGAACAAAAATTGTATACTAGAGCACAATTGAATCAGCATATAAACTCGGGTGACTCTGAAGTGGATGGAACTGAGAGTGAAAGAGGTGGCTTCATGGGACATCCTATGTGTGAGTTTTGCCGAACCCCATTCTACGGGAATAATGAATGGAATATGCTAGAGGCACCAACTTTGGGCACCAACTCTCTAATAGAGCGTGGGTCCCGGTGTATTGGTGGGCTCCACCTCTATTAGAGAGTTGGTGCCCAAAGTTGGTGCCTCTAGCACCACCCATAATGAACTGTACTCCCACATGTCTACTGAACGCTATATGTGTCATATACGCCAAAGGTAAGTAAGCCGTCTTTTACTGAAATGAGTGCTATGTTTTGATTGTAAGAGCATGTCCACCGCTGCACCAAACCTAGGCAAAAGGCCCCCCTGGCAGCCCATTTCCAGCTCCAGCGCGCAGCAATGAGCCCAGGCAAATGGTGGGTCCCACTAGCCTGGGCAAGCCCACGAGCTAATCTTGCCTGGGCACCAAACCTCAGGCTACAGATTTTCAATTTTTTTTTACTGTTGGACCCACCAGCCCACATTGCCCAATGATTACAAGCCATGTGGCTTCTCCTGGAGCCTCCGATCAAAAAATCTTGCACAATCCAACGGTTGTCCAATTTTTGGCTAAAAAAAATTGAAAAAAATATCAAAAAATTCTGGAAATTTTTTCTATACATACCTACCAATATTATTCACTTTCCACACCAATTTAATTTTAAAATTTTATCCGAAAATGTTATCTTGATTTTTAGGTGAGGATTTTACAATAAATATTAACACTTGGGAATTAAAAATCTTATCCGAAAAGCTTATCAAAATCAATGGTTTAAGAATAAAAAATAAAAAAAAAAATTAAGTGAATAGTAATTGCCTTAGACTTTCCCTAGACTTAGCCCTCATGGGTGGAACCACAAATGGCAAGGCTGACACTATTCACATGAATAGTGGCAGCCCTTGCTTGCCCTTGCCCTAAACTTAGCCCTTGTGGGTGGAGATGCTCAATATAGAATAAGTTTAAGCTCGTATGAGATCCTATGCTGATCAACGCAGGCAGCATCCTGGACAGTACGAATATTATAAGAATTACGATGACCAGGAGGCAAGTTATTGGTGATTTTGTTATTTATTTATTATTTATTTTGTTTGTGGTGCCTTGTATGAGTTCTGAATTTTTTTGTTCATGTCATAGATGCACTTCCGCCATGGTCATTTCCTATGTGAAGATGAATCCTGCCTCGCCAAAAAGTTTGTTGTCTTTCAATCTGAGGCAGAAATGAAGGTGAATTTTTAGAACGTGAGATATTTTCTGTGTTCCTGCATCTTGTAGCATTTAATTATTTTGACTTTGCTTTATTTTTTATTTTCAGAGGCATAATACGATTGAACATGGACGTTTGTCTCGTTCTAAGCGTAATGCTGCTTTGCAGGTAAATATTCTTTTTTTATCTTCTTGTCTTGCATTTTCCATTTTACAGCTAGGCTGAGTACTTCTCGCATCTTTTTATTTATATAATTGTTTTGTTTTGTGAATTTTCTTTTATCTCATATAATAATTATTTTTGTTTTGTAACAGATACCAACCAGCTTCCGGTATCAACGAACAAGTGAGCAAGATCATCGACGTGGAAGAGGTGGAAGAGGTCGGACTTTTCGTCGTGATTCTTCTGAAAACCAACTTTCTATGGCTATTCAAGCAAGTTTGGAGGCAGCTCATGCTGAAAATACATTGAATGATCCTTCATCCTCCAGTGGGCAAGTTGCTCCACATCTTGGAGATATAAGCGATATTGATCCAATCATTGACCCTTTTGAATCATTAAGAACAAGGGATATCGAAACATCTTCAAGGTATCGTCAAGCCTTGGGGCATAGTTATAGTAATGCACCTTTGGAGGAATCTTCCTTTCCTCCCCTCTCAGTGCAACCTAGCAGCGGTCAATCAAACCCCAGATCTGACTCGGATGGTTTGCCTAATAACACCGTGGAGCAACCGCAAGGCGGCTGTTAATAGTTCTGGTGAGGCTTGGCCAGCAGCAAGGCGTGGGCCTGTAGTACAACCACTACTACAAAATAACCCCTGCGCGACCAAATTTTGCGCGACGAAAAATTATTCGTCGCTCAAAGTCGCTTTGTGCGACGAAACTCAAACTTCGTCGCTAAAAACCTTGCGCGACGAAAAATAATTCGTCGCTCAAAGTGACTTTGCGCAACCAACTTTTGAGTGACGATAATACGTCATCGCGCAAAGTCTTGCGAGACCAACTTTTGCACGACGAATTGATTTTCGTCGCGCAAAGTCGCTTTGCGCGACGGAAAAAAATTTGTCACGCAAAGCACCTTTGCGCGACGAAAAACAATTAGTCGCTCAAAGATACTTTGCGCGACGAAAATCAATTCGTCGCGCAAAGCTACTTTGAGCGACGAAACAACAAAACTTCGTCACGCAAAGTCCTTATAAAATAAATAAAATATTTTTTAAAATCTTTGTTAGAAAAATATATTATTGTTGTTTGGATTGGGTTTTTGTTAGAAAATATATTTTTTAAATTGACGATCAAATTCGTTCAAACTAGTTTCGTAGAATGCGTATGCCATCAAAACAATATATTCACTAACAATTAAAAGTTTATTTATACTTTTGTTAAATATAACATAAGATTTTGTGGTATCTACTAGTGTAAATATTTTAAATTGACGATCGAATTAGGTCATTGTATTCATATAAGGTCAAGGAGTGTAGCTGTAAAAAAATCATTAAAATCGGAGTTAAAATAACCGTTAAATCCTGATTTTTCATTTAGAACCGTTGAAATTTTTTGTCCCTTTACTGGGTCTTCGAATGTTTGTTTTTTGCGATTTTTGGGGTATACGATCTTGAAGTATATACAAACAAGTCTGACGGTTGGGTCGTTGAATGGTGTGTGTATATATATATATATATTTATTTACTTATTAAGTGGCTTTAAATTTATTTATTTTGTACGTATAACACTTAAGAAATTGGTATATACATTTATTAAGTAGCTTTAACCTTATTTATATTTTAAATCGTAAAAAAATAATTTTTTTATTATTATTCGTAACAATTATTTTTATAAATATCGTGCTACGAACCAATTTTTCGTTTCTCAAAAGTTTGCGCGACCAACAATTCGTCGCACAAAACTCTAAAAATTTGGGCGGGTACCAAAAATGGGACGTGGGAAAAAAAATTTAGACTTTGCGCGACCAATATTTTGTGTCGCTCAAAACTTTGCTCGACCAATATATATTTTCTGTCGCGTAAAAATTTGGCAGGTACCAAAAATGGGACGCGGGAATTTTTTTATATAATTTTTTAGACTTTGCGTGACAAATATGTATTTTTCGTAGCGCAAAAATTTCAAAATTTGGGCGGGTACCAAAAATGGGATGCGAGATTTTTTTTTTGACTTTGCGCGACCAATTTTTGTCGTCGCGCAAAACTTTGCACGACCAACAACATCTTTCATCGCGCAAAGTGATACCGTTTTTAAAATGAAAATAACTACACCATTTTCTCAATGTCTTTCTCTACTCTTACCTCTCCTCTCTCTTTCCCTCTCCCCAAATCCCACTATTTCTCTCACACTCACTCCTCTCACTTAATCTCTCATCATCTCTCTCTTCACTATCTCTCACTCTCACTCACTCTCTCATCTCTCTTTTCACTATCTCTCACTCTCACTCACTCTCTCATCTCTCTATCACTATCTTCTCTAATTCTCTCACACTCACTTCTCTCTCTCATTCTCACTCACTCTCAATCTTGCCAAAAGGTAGATTCTCTCCAAATTTTAAATTTTTTTTTCATTAATATGTGTTTTTGGAGTTAGTTTTGAGTTTGTGTGGGGTTTGGGGTTGAGTAAAGGGGAGGGATTGGAGTTTGGGTTGGATTTGTTGTATAACAATTTTAGGGGAGATTATCCCTTTTATTTATTTATTGTACTTTGTTAATTTATGTGTACATTTTGAATATTATATATATATATTTATTGGATAATTTGATCACTAATTTTCATATGTAATTTTATTTTGAATATTTCAATTTAAATTAAAGTAATTAAATTTAAAAAGTAAAAATTTGAATAAATCAATATAATTAAATAAATATCAATTTAAATTAAAGTAACGAAAAAAATCATACAATTAAATTAAATTTAAAAAGTAAAAATTTGAAATAATTAATATAATTAAATTAATATTAAATAAATAATAAAACAAAACTCAAAAACCAAATATTTTGTCGCGCAAATAATTAATATAATTAAATTAATATGTCGTTACGCAAAAATTTGAAATAATTAATATAAAACCAAAATAATAAAACAAAAAGTCAAAAACCAAAATATTTTTTTTAAAATTTTTTCGTCGCGCAAAGTCGCTTTGCGCGACAAATATTTTTTCGTTGCGCAAAGTCGCTTTGCGTGACCAATATTTTCGTCGCGCAAAGTAACTTTGCGTGACCAATGTTTTTCGTCGCGCAAAGTCACTTTGTGCGACCAATATTTTTTCGTCGCGCAAAGTCTTTCTTCACGATCTTTGCGCGACGAAGTTTCTGTCGCGCTAAAATTTGTGCGACAAAATTCTCTTCGTCGCGTAAAGTGTAAAATGTAGTAGTGAACCTACTAGTTCAGCTCAAGCTTGGCCTGCAACAAATGTTTCACCTATAATATCTCGTGGTTCTGGTCAGAACAATGGGCCCAGACCACCTAGTTATGCAAGTTCCTCTCAGGCTTAAGTCGAGACTAGACAAATAACAGTTTTGCTCGATTCTGGTCAGAACAATGGGCCCAGACCATCTGGTTATGCAAGTTCTGCTCAAGCTCAAGTCAAGACTAGACAGACAACAGTTTTGCACGATTCTTGTGAAAACAATGGACCCAGACCATCTAGTTATGCAAGTTCTGCTCAGACTCAAGTTGAGACGAGACAAACAACTGGTTCTTTAAGGGATTCAAGCAAAACCAAGTTGTTCACCCGTTTTGTGTTTACTCCTATGATGGAAGGGCAAAGTTCCCCACTGCCTTGAGAACCATAGACTGGTCAACAAGTCAGCTTTCTTTGGTGTGCGAGCGTGCCACTGCTAGTAATGAACAGCCTAGCAGACTTAGTCTGGAATGGATAACTTGCGCCCCAAGTCACTGATTTCCTAAACAAACGATTGTGAATTTGGGTGAGGAATATCTCCCAAGTAAGTTCTTTTCTTGCCTCAGACTGGTGAGGACTTTAACAATTTATCTCAGTATAAAGAGGTTGTTCTGGCCAGAATAGTCGATGGAATTTAAGTTGTTTTTGGGCAGAAGTGCCTTTTACAAAACTAAAAATATATGTGGATGCGAAAAAGATAAAAAGGGTAGCTGGGTCTCCATTTCTGCCTGGATGGACGGCTCTGTGATGGGCTGGACTGGGAATGTCTGGGCTGGACTGGACCGTTGACAATTCTGATTGCCCGATTTTCAACTACAAATCGATACCAAAGGTTGATTCTGGCAGAGCTTTAATGTACCTTAAGCTTTTGTGAAGCTTCTGAGTGGGCAGAACTGCGGTTTCTTCAGTTTGAACAGGCAGAAGTGGCTGTTCTTGAGAACGTTGGTGAGCTGGAGGCTATTCCCTGAATTTTGCTGAGGTTTTCCATACTTGGAGAAGATTCAAACTTTGCTTGTTTTGGCTTTTTGTTGAACCAAATTTATAACGAGAGAAATCTCGTTTTGAATGACTTGCTTCCTAAATCTGGATTCTGGACCTTCTGATCTGGAGCTGGTTTTTTTTTCACTTGAAATTCAAGTGGGCTTGTTCATTTGAGGGTTTTCCTATGTAGGATCTTTGTTTGATTGAGTGATGAAATTTTTGTTGTAAGATTTGATTGTCCTTTGCCCTGTTCACTCCTTCTTGTATTTATAAGAGATGTCTTCTGGAGTAGGATAATTCTTTTAATAATGGGCGGCAAATCCTTTCGAAAAGATCTTCTTTTTTTTAAAAATGGAAAAGAAAAGAAGAAAAAGGTTTCCTCAGTTTTTGGTAGATAGGCTCTCAACAGATAGGCAATCACTTCCCTGATTTTCTTGAAAAGGAACCTAATCTCTTTCCCAATTTCAACTGCCCCTTGTGATATTTTGCCGGTGATGGTTAGTTTGACTTCTTTTCTGGACAGCTTCCTGCTTTCCTGCTTATCCCTCCCTGAGTTTGTAACTTGCTTATCTCCTTGGGAGAATTACCTTTTCTGAAAGGACAGGAAAAAATCTCTGAATATATATATATATGTAAGAGGGATTTGATCTTCAGTTTTTTCCAGAATCGATCTTGATGCCATGAACCCTTCAATCACTTCTCCTATGACAGTTGCCATTGCTGACTTTTCTTTTTTTCAGAGATATCACGTGGGATTGTCCCTATTTCTGGGCTTCCCCTTTATATTGGGCCCGTGAGGCCCAGATTAGTCTTGTTTACTTTGATGAGTCTTGGGCTGGTCTCCTCTGGCTTTTGGGCTTCCATCTCTCTTTGATTTCTTGCAGCTTCATTCTGGGCCTCATTTTTGCTGGGCTGGGTATGCCAATTTGTGGCCCAAACAATGCCCCCTTAAGTCTGAATCGTTTTGAAACGGTTTTCAGACTTAAATGACATGGCCATTAAATTGGCGCGTGGTAAATTCCTTCATTTATCCCACGTCTGCCACGCTTCCCCACTAAGCTAGTGCCCGTGTGGCGCAGTTCTTCAGTTACTAGCCCTTTATTAGCTTAGTCACTATCAGATTGACGCTTTGTCTTCTCCACGTCGCTGTCATCTCTTTCCCACGTTTTTGGCTTCTTTAAAAGTCTTTCAAAAACCACTGTTCCTGTTCACCTGAAAACCTAGTATTTTCAAAGCTTCGTTTCCCCTGAGCTTTCTGATACTTTCTTTCTGCCAAAAAGGAATAATTCCGAGAAATGTCTTCCCCGAAACCTCGTGCTCAATCTTCCTCTGTTTCAGTTCTTCCAGACTACCTTACTGGGGCTGGAATCGATAGTCACGCGATAGAGGTTAGGAGCAAGCTCCATCCTTTTGCCCAGAAAAACCTGGATGAAAATGTCCTCCACTTGTTTGAAAACACCTTGGTGCTGGGGCCTCACTGGTTTGGCCCCGTTCCTCCTGAGATGGCGGAGTTGATGAAGAAGGATGCTGAGGCCCCTCTATGTTTCGAGAGCTCTTCTGCCCTGGCTTCTCATTCTTGGGTCAGCAAGAATTTGAGTCGTTCGTTCCCCTCCAGTGAAGTGAGAAACAGTCCAGTCAAGTGGGCTGATTTGATTGACAGACTTCTTCCTCGATTTGGGGCTCACTGGAAGCGGGCTGGAATTTATGACGCCATACTCCTATCCAAGCAATCTATCAACAGGGATGAGAACCTGCTTGCTGCTGCTCTGTGTTTCTGGAACTCTGCCAGTAACACCTTCGATTTTCGTATAGGCCCCATGGCTCCAACTCTGCTGGATATGGCTCAGATTTTTGGCTTTAGGCCCCATGGGAGGCCTGTTGATGCTGTTGGTGACTATCACAGGAAGAAGGACCAGCAGAAGCTAGCCAAGCCATTCACTGTTTCCCCAGCTCTGATCAACCAGAATTGCTCCTTTTCCAATTATCTCAGGAAGTTTAGTGTTGAGAAGGACAAAGATCAGCAGCACATGTTGTTCCTCCTGTATTGGCTGAACAGGTTTGTTCTGCCCAATCGCTCTTCTGCAGTTCTGCTTGAGTACAGACATTTGGCAGAAGCTCTGCATAATCACACTGATGTTGGACTCGGGCCAACAGTTCTGGCCCATATATTCAAGAACCTGCATACCGCCACTTTGGAGTACCCGCTAAATCTATCTGCTCCTGGTGCCTTCTGGATGATTCAGGTCTGGCTGCAGGTCTATTTTCCTGAGCTAAGGTTTCCAGATATAGTTCTGCCTGAGGATCAGGTTCTGGCTCAACCTTTGTTGTCGGCAGAAGTTCCCAAGCGATCAATCGATAAATACCTGATGATGTTCAGGCATTGTACCAAGAGGTCTGCAGCGCAGTGGCAGATGGTGATTAGGAGGACCTATCCTTGGTTTCAGCCTGGACATCGTCTGTTTGAGAAAGAGCCAGAAGAAGAATCCGCCAGAACTGATTTCAGGAAGAAGTTCCTGAGTGTGACCTTACCCAGGGAGGGGGAAAGCCTCCAAATTATCATTTGGGGGCGGAAGTCTACCATCCCAACTTCTGTGCAAGGCAGCTTGGCTGTCCTCAGCTCATACCCCTCAAGTCATACAGAAGCTGCAATCGGGGGTCTTCTTGGAGGGACGTGGATGACCTGGAGGTCCATAAAGATGCCAGGTGTGCGGTGAACAAGATCAACAATAGTGTGGATGCCCTTTATCCTTCATGGGAATTGAACTCCTGCAGTTCTGTGGAGTTTGATGCCTGGTGGAAAGCCAGATTCCGTGATCTGCCTGCTTCCAGCACCGCACTTCAGGTCCTTTTTAAGGGCTGGGACAATTGGACTGTCCATTCAGATGACGAGACTCACAGATTCATGGTGCAGACTATCAAAGACATCAATATGCAAGTTATAGAAGGTAATCTCTCGCTCTTATTCGTTGTTGCCCATTCTGCTTTTTTAATGATGATGCTGATCTTTTCTGTCTGTGCTCAGATCCTTCTCTGACAAAGAATATAGGCAGCCAGCCCGCCAAAAGTGGAGAGGTGTTTGGTAAGTTGTGTTTTTTTGTCCAGTTTTTTGCTACTTTCTGCTGGATTGACCTTTGACTTTTGTCATCTGCACAGTTAATTCTGTTATTGCTGCTGGGGATCTGGAGTTGCCCTCCGGGGATGGAGAGGAGGAAGAAGAAGAAGAAGAAGAAGATCAGGCGGAACAGACTCCTGTTGAGGCCACTTCTCCTGTGAAGAGAAAAAGAAAAGAGACTGCCCAGTCTGTGGCTCCAGGTATTCTTTGACTGTTTCCTTTTTCGCGTTATCCATAATCCTGTTCTGTCTTAATCTTTAAGATTTATTCTGTCTGTTTGCAGTTGGCAATCCTTCTCCTCCTCTGACTAAGTCAAAAAGACTTAGAAAGAAGATTGTAGAAGAATACGTGGCCCCGGGGGGAACTGGGGCAGTTCCTACCACCACCTCTGGCACGGATGATGATCTGAGAGAGGCTTTCGAAGCTGTGGAGCAAGAAAGGGAGCTGGAAGAGCTGGAAAAGGTAGGAGAGGAGCCCCAGGAGAAGGCCAAGTCAGTGGAGGAGGAGGTGAATCTGTATTTATATCTGGGAGTAATTGTTCCTGCTGCACCTTGATTTATTCTGTTCTGACTTCCGTGCATTCTGTAGGAGGAAATTCCTGCTGAGGTGATAGCAGAGAGCATTGCCTTGGCTCGGAAGCAGCAGGAAGATATAGGGGCAGGGCTGACCAACTCAGAGGTGGCCCTTTTTGATGATCCAGAGGCAGAACATTCTACTGCCGCTCCAGCAGCTGAGGACCAAGTGGAACAATCCGGATCGGAGCCTGGGGATCAGGCAGGACAAGTGGTTCCTGCTCCTGAAACCGTAGCAGGAGTGGCTGCTGCCGTTCCTGGGTTTATGGTGAGTTCTGTCCTTATTCTGTCGTCTCCCATTTTGTTCTGTCCCTTGGTCCCTTCTGACCCTCGAATCTTTACAGGTGGAAGCACAAAGAACTGCTGGGGCCTTGGCGGTGAGGACCACCCCCTTACAGCCTCCGATTGTTGCAGTGAGTGTTTTTTGTAGTTCTATCTTCTCCTTCTTGTTTCTGCCCTGTTCTTGACCTTATGCTTTCTTCTGCAGATGCCTATTCATTCTCTTGCAGGTTCATCTGCCACGGCTTCTTTTGCTGACCCGGAGCTGGCAGAATTTGAAGCCATGGACCTAGATGCCCAGCTGGATAAGTTGGAAAAGCTCAGCTCTCCTGTTGGTAAGACAAAGTCCAGGGCAGTGGAAGAGGCAATGGAGAGGCTGAAGATCTGGCAGTCTGCTGAATTGGAGCTGGATGAGGACAGAGAGGCCTTTGATCAGCTGATGAAGGATCTGGATCTGCTGCATAGACAGAACATGGCCCCAAGACCCATACTTGAGATGAGTCTTGTCTTGGCAAGGGATGTGCTTAACCTTCACGACCGTTATGAAGACCTGAAGCCTACCTTCAAAACCTCTGAGTTCTGCAAGGCCACTCATGAAGCCAACTTGGCTGATTTTGCAAAGCAGAAGGCAGAACTGGACCAGATGGTTGCGGGGTATAAAGAAGCCAAAGCTGCTGGGGATAAATTGGAAAAAGAGATTGCAGAACTTCAAAAGCAGCTGGCAGAGCGTCGGGAAGTGCAGCACAGGCTCGGGGCTGGATTGAGTTCTAAGACCAAGGCCACTTTCCTTGTGCAGAACATGGTTGCAGCTTCTAGGCCCGCCCTGGAGATTGCAGAAGCTTCAATTCATCAGGGTGTGCTGCTCCAAAAGGAACTTTCTACCAAGAAGAATAACCTGCAGGAGACTCTTAGAAAACTAGGATTTTGATTTCGTTATTTTTCGCTTTTCTGAACAGCTTGCCGTGGGGAAGGCCCCATGGTTTATTTATTTTTAAATAAAGTTCATTTTATTTCTATTGATGGATCGAACGGAAAACAGAAGTAGGAATACAACAAAGGGGTAAAAACAAGGGTAACTTTCACAAGATTTTTAGTTAACTCTTGTGTCTATCCCCGGGTCTGTTTGTACAGCCTGTGAATCCCACATGGTTGGATAAAACTTTTTTAACCATTTGCCATTGATCGGGGCCGTATGAACTTCTCCATCCCTATCCTGCAACCTGTAAGCCCCCATTCCAAGAATCTGGCTGATTATGAAAGGACCTTCCCATGTAGGTGACCATTTTCCATAACCAGCCACATGTGTTCCAAGGGGCAGAACTGCTTTCCAGACTATCTCCCCTTCTTCAAAACTCTTGTTCCTGACTCTTTTGTTGTAGGCCCTTGATACAGCCTGTTTTCCTGCCAGGAGTTTGTTGAGGGTGTCAATTCTGGCTGCATCCAATCCTTCCAGTTCCAGCAGCATGGCCTGGGAGTAGTCTTCTCCTACTAAGTCATGTTGGTGAGCAATTCTGAGGGACTGAACAGCTATCTCCATAGGCAGAATTGCATCATGACCGTAGGTTAACGCGTAGGGAGTCATGCCAGTCGCTTCTCTCTTTGAAGTTCTATATGCCCACAGAGTTTCTGACAGCTTCTCATGCCACTGTTTTGGATTCTTTTCAAGCATTTTCCTGATAATGTTGATGATTACTTTGTTGCTTGATTCCGCCTGTCCGTTGGCTTGGGCATAATAAGGAGTGGATTGGAGCAGTCTGAATTTGAATGCCTCTGCCATGTCCAGCATTTCTCTAGATATGAAAGATGACCCTTTATCAGTTGTGATTGATTCTGGGATGCTAAATCTTTGGATGATCTGTTCTTCTATGAAAATGATGATCTCTTGAGATGTAGTGGATTTAACAGCCTTGGCCTCCACCCACTTGGTGAAGTAGTCTGTGGCAACAATGATAAAGCAGTGCTGCTGGCTGCTGGCTGGATAGATCTTACCAATGAGATCCATTGCCCATCCTCTAAAGGGCCATGGTTTTACCACTGGATTCATGGGAACTGATGGAGCCTGCTGGACTGGACCGTGCCTTTGACAAGATTCGCACCCCTTGGAATAGTTAATGCAATCTTTCATCATGGTTGGCCAGAAGTAGCCGTATCTTCTGATTAACCAGCACATTTTCCTTCCACCTTGATGTGCTCCACAGATTCCTTCATGGGTTTCCCCCATAACTTTCATGTATTCTTTCTTCCCGAGGCACCTTAAAAGCACCTCATCCTTACTCTTTCGGACCAAATCTTCATTCCACATAAGGTAGTTTAAAGCCATGATTCTGACTTTCTTCTCAGAGGGCAAAGTTGGATATCGTAGATAGGTCATGATAGGATTCCTCCAATCATCCTCAGTGATTGTGGCAGAGTTGACATCTATCTCCATCCCCCTGGCCAGAACCGATGGTAGGCTTTTCTTTCCTATCTTGATGATTCTTTGTACACAGTCTTCGGGTATTTGTATGCCTGTTGCCACCTGGGCCAATTCATTGGCTGCAAAATTCTCTTCCCTTGGGATATGTTCCCAAGTGGCCTCTCTGAATTCTGTCAGAAGATTCCTAGCTGCCACCAAGTAGACAGCCAGAGAAGGGCTTAGGCACTTGTATTCCCCAGCAATTTGTTTTAGAACCAGCATGGAGTCTCCCAGGATTTCCACAGACTGGATTCCTAATTCTACCAGCATTTCCAAGCCATGATTAAGGCTTCATATTCTGCCCTATTGTTGGTGCATTGGAAATCTAATTGAAAGGAGTAGCAGTGTCTGATTCCCAGTGGTTCTTCCAAAACAATTCCTGCCCCGGAAGTTATATCCGTTTTTGATCCATCAAAGTATAACTTCCAAGGTGTAAGATGAACTGAGTAGATAGGGTTGTTGAGGCAGGTGTGAGCTCTGGTTAACAGATCTGCATTTGCTATGTCTAAAGAGTCCATATTTTCAATCTCTTCTCCGGGTTGATCTGCTAGGAAGTCTGCCACAGCTTGTCCTTTGACGGCTTTCTGAGGAACATATCTGAAGGCAAATTCTGTCAAGGCCAAGGTCCATTTTCCAATTCTGCCTCTCAGCATTGGTCTTGTCAGCATGTATTTGATCAGATCTGTTTTGGCAATGATATAGATGGTATATGGCAGCATATAATGTCTGAGCTTTACAGCAGTGAAGTACAAGGCTAGGCAAAGTCTCTCAATTGCAGAATATTTTCTTTCCACTTCTGTCAGAGTTCTGCTTAGGTAGTAAACCGCCTGTTCCTTTCCTTCCTTGTTATCCTGAACCAATAAACTTCCAATGGACACTTCTGATGCAGATATATAGAGCTTGAGTGGTCTGCCTCTCTTTGGCGGGGACAGAACTGGTGGATTTGAGAGGTAATGCTTGATTTCCTCAAAAGCTTGCTGGTGTTGTTCTTCCCACTTAAAGGTTTGTTCCTGTTTCAATCTTAACAAAGAAGAGAAAGGCTGGATCTTTCCTGCAGAGTTGGATATAAATCTCCTTAAAAAATTAATTTTTCCTAAGAGACTTTGCAATTCTTTCTTGTTCCTAGGCGGTAAGGCTTCTATGATGGATTTTGCTTTGTTCTTGTCAATCTCTATGCCTCTTTGGTGGACCAAAAATCCTAGGAAATTTCCCGCTTGAACTCCAAAAACGCACTTCTTTGGGTTCATTTTCAGTTTATGTTGCCTCATTCTGAGGAATGCTCTTCTTAGGTTTGTCATGTGGTTTCCCTCCTCTGGTGATTTGATCACAACATCATCAATATACACTTCCAAGGAATGCCCTATCATATCGTGGAAAACAGAATTCATTGCCCTTTGATAGGTAGCCCCTGCATTCCTTAAGCCAAAAGGCATTACAGTGTATTCAAAAGCACCTATATGCCCTGGACACATGAAGGCTGTCTTGTGGATGTCTTCTTCTGCCATCATGATCTGATTGTAACCTGCGTTGCCATCCATAAAAGATAGCATCTGGTTGTGGGCAGCTCCATCTACCAGCATGTCTGCCATTGGCATAGGGTATTCATCCTTGGGAGAGGCTTCATTCAGGTTTCTGTAATCCACGCAGATTCTGACTGCCCCGGTTTTCCTTTTTAGAACTGGTACAATGTTAGCTAGCCAATCAGCATAGATGACAGGCCTGATGAATCCCGCTTTGAGCAGCCTTTCTATTTCTTCTTTGACTTTCAGTTCTGTGTCCATGGACATTCTTCTTCTGGCCTGTTTGACTGGAAGGTATCCCTCTTTGATTGGTAGTTTGTGTTCTACCAATTCCCTGTCTAATCCTGGCATCTCGTGATAATGCCAAGCAAAACAGTCTTTGAACTCTTGTAGAAGTGCAACGAGTTCATTCTTAAGGGGTTCTTTCAATAATGCGCTGATGAAGGTTGGCCTTGGATCCTCCTCTGTCCCCAAATTTATTTCCTGCAAAGGATCTTCTACCTCTGGTAGAGAGTCATCCAATGCGGCTGGTGCGAAATCTAGCACTTCCTCCTGTAGTTCCTCTTCCTCCTGGCTTTCCGTACTTTCATGAGTGAATTCTGCCATATTGATGGCTGGATTCTGTGCAAACAACTTTCTTTCCTCCCAGTATATCAACAATCTTTTTGTAATGGACCGGATTGTTGCAGCTCGATCCTTTTCTTGTTGATTGGGACTAAACATCAGTGCTTTGGAAATTTAGAACAAAAGGCCTGTTCCAATCCTCCAAAGAATTGGTTAGACCTTCTTCAATGAGTCTCTGGGCCGTGACACCATGGGGGCGGCCGTTCTGGTTGACTCCAAAGAAAGTGAAAGGACCAAGGTCATCATGATAGTACCTTGCCTCACAACACATGGCAGAAGGTAGGAATGGCCGTGGATCGGCCTCTACTATCTCCATGTAGCCATCTTCGTTCCATAAAGCTAACTGTTGATGAAGAGTGGAAGGAACACAGAGACTCTGATGGATCCAATCTCTGCCAAGCAATGCATTGTAAGTGGTGGAGGTGGTATCTACCACAAAGAATGCAACCTTCAGCTTCTTGCTTCCTACCAAGACATCTACATCCAGAATCCCAAGGGTTTTGGTGATGCCCCCTGCGAAGTTGGTGACGGTCAGGCGGGTTGGGATTAAATCCTTCTCTGTTCTGCCCATTTTGCTCAGCATTCTGTGAGGCAGAAGGTTGATGGCTGCACCTCCATCTACCATGGTTTTGGGGATAGGAACACCCCCAAAGTTTGCTGTTATAAACAAGGGTCTGAGGTGGTTTGCCATTTCTTTGGTTGGTTTGGAGAAACAAAGGGGACCTGTTGTCAGCTTGTGGGTTCCTCCTTCTATCCTGGGACTGCCTATTTGCTGTTCTGGCATTTCTTCCGTTTCTGCCAACCTGCATTCAAAACTTTCTTGGGAAAAAACGTCTCCGTCCAGGGTGCTCTTCTATCCTTCTACCGCCTAGAACTTTTCTGGCAGAATGAACACCATATTGATGCCTAGGTCAGTACGTAACAAGTCCTCCAATTCTGCGCCAAAGGCCTCAGTTTCTGCATCCAACTCTCCGTCATAATCCATCTGTTCTCCATCATATTTCTCCGTCCATTCTCCCAGTTCTTCTGTCCCGAGGAGCGCATTCTAGTCATCTGTAGATGGCTCATAATCCAGCTGCTCCTCTTCATCTTCCTCAACCCAATCTTCTTGTCCTTCTCCTGGAACAGGTTTGGTTCTTTCCTCTAGTTGGGGAGTTTCAAGTAGACCTCCTGAGGCGGGGGCAGGATGGACAGAAGATTTCTCTGAGGATTCTGCTCTTGTCAACTTCTGTAGTTGAGAGATTGCTTGTTCTGTCTGGGGAAGTATTTCTGGTTCTTTCCCTTTTCTGGCAGAATTGGCCTTTGGAGGCACCTGTGCGTTTTTCTCGTTATTGAGGAATGTGCAGTACTGTCTCTGAACCCTCCTCCTTTGGGTTCTTGTTAGCTCCATTGTTGGTCTGCCATTCTTCCCGATAGAGTACCACCTGCCTTCAATGATGGCCGCCAAAGGTTTGTTACTTCCGGGCACTTTTATTGATATTTCCTCCTTGGGCTGCTTAGTCACTCTTCTGTTGGATTGGACAGGCCTAGGGTAGTTTCTCTGTCTGGTCCTATCATGGGGCATGGTTCCGATCCGGTCAAAAACACTTGGAATGGGCAGCTCCTGTTTTTCGGGGACCACTTCCAACTCAACCTCACAATTGCACCTGCTGCAGAGCACTATTCCAGCTGAAATGGTTGCTTTTGGTCTTTCCATAGTCTCCTTTGAAACTATTCTGCTTCTACTAGAGCCAGTCTGCATGGCTGGTCTATCCTTCTTCCGTTCTGGCCAATTTAGATTGACCATGTTAACTTGTGGCTGGGGAAAAGGATCTGTGGTGACAGATGGAGGTTTCTCTGCTAGCTTCAGCCTTCCTGCTGTTATCCCTTCCTGTATGACATCTCTGAAAACAACACAACTATTGGTAGAATGATTCCAAGAATTGTGCCATCTGCAATACTGTCTGCCCTTGAGTTCTTCTGGCTTGGGCATTCTGTGAGGTGTCTCTATTGCTTTTTGTAACAACATTTCATCAAACAAGGCATCTACTTTGGTCAGATCGAAGGAATACACTTTGTTCTGCATGGGTTTGTTTGGAACAAACCCTCCTGTGAATGGTGGCGGCTTCTGATCCCTTGGGGGTTTTGTAAGAGTCTTACAACTGATGGGGTGCTTTAATTTCGCCATTTCCGCAACTGCAACCTCTCTCTCCTCCGATTCCTCCGCATCTTCTTCTGACTCTACTTCAATCATATGTATTGAGGAAGAAGGAGATTTATAATACGTGCCTTTGGAAGAGTTTCTCTTCTGCTGTTCCTCCCGGAGCAATTCCTCGTACTTGGCCGCTTTATCTGCCAGTTCTGCCAGGTCTCCAAACAGCATCCCATCAAATCTTTTCCTCAGAGAGATTTTGAGGGCAGCCTGAGCCATTTGGATGAAGTGTCTTTCTTCGATGGGGATTCGGCACTTCATTTTGAGCTTCCTGAACCTGTTTATAAAGTCTTGGGCAGGTTCGTCCTCACTCTGTTTGAGAGCTGCAAGGTCACTGATGGTGACTTCTGGCTGGATCCTGTAATAGTAGTCATGGAAGACGCTCTCCATTTGCTCCCATGTCTGAATAGAATTTGCTGGCAGATTGGTGTACCAAGTGAAAGCTTGTCCAGAGAGAGAATTCCCAAAAAGCCTTAGCTTTAACAGTGGGTTATTCTCTATGGCTATGCATTGGGTAGAAAATCTGCCTACGTGCTCAACTGATGAAGCATGAGGATCCTCTCCGTTGAATAAAGTGAAGTTTGGTACTTTAAAGCCTGGGGACAAGGGTATCTGGTCAATGTAAGGTGGATATGGTTTCCTATAGGTGGGCCTTTCCCCCCTCCTGGCCTCAGGCTCCATCATTTCCCTGATCATCCTCTGCAATGCCCCCACGTCATTTAGAGCATTAACGGGGGGAAGGTTTTGTCCCTGTTCTGGCTGGGCATGATTGACTCGTGGTTCTGCCCTATATGGTCTAGGCAGAACTTCTTCCCTGTGCTCCTCCGGTTCCTCCAGGCCTGGGTGGTTCCTCCAGTTTGCTCCCTGCCTGTTCCTGTCGTTATTAGCATAAGGGTAATTTCCCCCTCTGCATCTCCTTCCTCTTGCAGGTGGAGGGAATGGATTGGGGTCCATCCTTCTGGGCCTGTAGGGTACCACTGCTGGCTGTTCAGGCAGAACTTCCATAGGGTGATCTTGTGGTGGAGCAGGCTGAGGCTCTTGCTGATTCTGTGGAACTTGTCCTGGCGCAGGACCTTCTGGCTGTATTGGGGCCAGACGTTCTTGGATAGGGAAAGCCACTTCCCGGTGTCCAGCCTGGATTCCTCCCCGTTCTGGTATCCCAGCTATCTGTGCAACAAGAGGATTCTCTTGATATGGCCACGCCAACCCTGGTGGGGGACCATAGGGAAGGTCTAGTTGCTGAACCACCTCATCGGGATTGGGAATTCTGGCCATGGCAGCCTCTCGATCCTTCCTGAATTGCCTGTTGACCTGCCATTGCATCATGGCTGTCATATTGTTTAGAGTATCCTGGCTTCTTTGTGTTGTGACCTCTTGTCGTAACACAGATTCCTGTATCAGGTTCATCCTTCTGGAACCGGTCCTGGACCTCCTACTCCCTGTGCTGCCATGTGCTGAATGTCGGGCATCACTTTCTTCTGATTCCAGTCCTTCCCTGAGGGCCACTTGGTTTATTTCCATGCCGTGGTGTGGGTTCTGGCTAGAGCTTCCGGTATTCATGAACTGGTGAAGAACTCAATGAGAATGTGTATACTGAGAAGTCCCACTGGGCGTGCCAAATTGTTCACCCATTTTGTGTTTACTCCTATGATGGAAGGGCAAAGTTCCCCACTGCCTTGAGAACCATAGACTGGTCAACAAGTCAGCTTTCTTTGGTGTGCGAGCGTGCCACTGCTAGTAATGAACAGCCTAGCAGACTTAGTCTGGAATGGATAACTTGCGCCCCAAGTCACTGATTTCCTAAACAAACGATTGTGAATTTGGGTGAGGAATATCTCCCAAGTAAGTTCTTTTCTTGCCTCAGACTGGTGAGGACTTTAACAATTTATCTCAGTATAAAGAGGTTGTTCTGGCCAGAATAGTCGATGGAATTTAAGCTGTTTTTGGGCAGAAGTGCCTTTTACAAAACTAAAAATATATGTGGATGCGAAAAAGATAAAAAGGGTAGCTGGGTCTCCATTTCTGCCTGGATGGGACGGCTCTGTGATGGGCTGGACTGGGAATGTCTGGGCTGGACTGGACCGTTGACAATTCTGATCGCCCGATTTTCAACTACAAATCGATACCAAAGGTTGATTCTGGCAGAGCTTTAATGTACCTTAAGCTTTTGTGAAGCTTCTGAGTGGGCAGAACTGCGGTTTCTTCAGTTTGAACAGGCAGAAGTGGCTGTTCTTGAGAACGTTGGTGAGCTGGAGGCTATTCCGTGAATTTTGCTGAGGTTTTCCATACTTGGAGAAGATTCAAACTCTGCTTGTTTTGGCTTTTTGTTGAACCAAATTTATAACGAGAGAAATCTCGTTTTGAATGACTTGCTTCCTAAATCTGGATTCTGGACCTTCTGATCTGGAGCTGGTTTTTTTTTCACTTGAAATTCAAGTGGGCTTGTTCATTTGAGGGTTTTCCTATGTAGGATCTTTGTTTGATTGAGTGATGAAATTTTTGTTGTAAGATTTGATTGTCCTTTGCCCTGTTCACTCCTTCTTGTATTTATAAGAGATGTCTTCTGGAGTAGGATAATTCTTTTAATAATGGGCGGCAAATCCTTTCGAAAAGATCTTCTTTTTTTAAAAATGGAAAAGAAAAGAAGAAAAAGGTTTCCTCAGTTTTTGGTAGATAGGCTCTCAACAGATAGGCAATCACTTCCCTGATTTTCTTGAAAAGGAACCTAATCTCTTTCCCAATTTCAACTGCCCCTTGTGATATTTTGCCGGTGATGGTTAGTTTGACTTCTTTTCTGGACAGCTTCCTGCTTTCCTGCTTATCCCTCCCTGAGTTTGTAACTTGCTTATCCCCTTGGGAGAATTACCTTTTCTGAAAGGACAGGAAAAAATCTCTGAATATATATATATGTAAGAGGGATTTGATCTTCAGTTTTTTCCAGAATCGATCTTGATGCCATGAACCCTTCAATCACTTCTCCTATGACAGTTGCCATTGCTGACTTTTCTTTTTTTCAGAGATATCACGTGGGATTGTCCCTATTTCTGGGCTTCCCCTTTATATTGGGTCCGTGAGACCCAGATTAGTCTTGTTTACTTTGATGAGTCTTGGGCTGGTCTCCTCTGGCTTTTGGGCTTCCATCTCTCTTTGATTTCTTGCAGCTTCATTCTGGGCCTAATTTTTGCTGGGCTGGGTATGCCAATTTGTGGCCCAAACACAAGTCTGGTAGGATCATCCACTCTACATCAGCTCCTAATTTGGTTGAAAGTGGATCTGTTCAACCTTCGGTTTCAGATTTTGGCCAGCGGCGTTGCATAGCTCCTTGGCCCACGACATTGGTCACGTCGTTCGGACCCATTGCCCGATGCAATGGAAGTCTTGGAAGGTCATGCCTGACGAAATCAAGATAGAGGTTCGCGGCCAGTTGTCGGTATGTATCCTACCTTTTAATTATTTTTCTTTCAAACCTTATATATTTCCATTACTTAATGTATGTAAGTAATTTATTGCAGACGAACTATAACTTAGAGGACCTAGACGAGGAGTCGTTGGCGTACGTCAACAGACTCTTTGGTGAAAGGTACAAGCAGTGGAAGAGCGACTTGCACCACCATTTTCAGGCGTTTGATGATCCGCAAGTCGCTCTTCAGGAAGGTTGCCCAAAGGAGCTTGAGGGGCGGGAGGATAGTTGGGCGTGGCTCTGCGCTCATTTTCAGGCGCCTGATTATGTGGTATTTGTTTAATTATTTCATATTTTTTATTAATGTTTATTTCATTTTTTATATTTCATTATTATTTAATTTTTTATATTTCAACTAATAAGTTTTATTTTTTGTATAACAGAATAAAGCCCAAGTGAATAAGGGCAATAGGAAGAAGAAGACTCTTCTCCACCATTCTGGCTCCAGGCCCTTCTCATATAGGATGGATGCACAGCGGCGAGTAATAATAAAATCATTTATATTTAATTTTTAATATGTCATTATTATTAATTTATTTTGTTCATACTAATATTTTTCTTCTCTTGTTCAATTTAGGGGGGGTCGAAATTCCCAGAGATCGACGTCTTTGGTGACGTTTATGTTCGACCTGGGAATGAGTTGGCCGAGTCCCTTCATGTAAGTATTATTTATTTTTAATTTTTATGTTACGCATTCAATTTAAATGCATGTTTCAATTTATATTTTATGTTATGTTAAACAGACGACAATGGTGGAGAGGAGCCAGTTGGTTCTTCAGGAGTCCGCCTCCCAACTTCCTCCCGAGACTCCGATCGAGTCTGTGGATCCTCCACAAGATGCTAGATTTCAGATCTTGACGAAGACATTGGATCAGACTCTTGGGAGGAGGCCGGGAACATATTGTAGAGGGATGGGGAATGCCCGACAGAGAGAACCTTGACTCCGGTCATCATCGCAGGCAAACAGTCAGGTGACTGTTTTGACATCGCGAGTTGCCGAGCTTGAGGGTCAGATGTCGGTGATTCTACAGTCCCTCACGCGGTCCGGCGTTCCAATCTCGAATTTTGGTGCGTCGACATCCGAGCTCGTCCACCCCGAGCATCCCCACCAGACCACGGCCCCTGTAGACCCCCAGATCCCCGAGCCACATATGCCTGACGACCATGTAGATTTTGGAACATTATTTGATTAGTTTTTAATTTTCATAATTATTTTTTTAATATTTCTCTTGTAATATACATTTATTTTATTTTATATAATAAATGTATTCTTTACAATTCATTTTTTGTATTGCAATTTCATTTTACCAAAAAAAAAAAAAAAAAAAAAAAAAAAAAAAACCCACAAATTATTTTTTTACAAAATAATAAAAAAACGTAATATTAAATTTAAATAATCTATATTAATTTTGCGCGACAAAATGTTTCTCGTCGCGCAAACTCACTTTTTTAAAAAAAATAAAATGTAAAAAAAATAAAATTTATACACTTTAATTTATGCTTGCGCGACGACGTTTTTCGTCGCGCAATGTTCGTGCGATGAATGTGTGTTCGTTGCGCAAATTTGGCGTGACAAAGGAAGTTTCGTTGCGCAAAATACTGAGACACGAATCTCGCGCGACGGATGTTTCCGTCGCGCAATGTTTGCGTGACGAACAACCTTTCGTCGTGCAAAAGTTTGTTCGTGGAATAGTTGTGTCGTACCTAAACCTTTTCTGCAACGAAGGTGCTACGTCGCACAGTTTTGCGCGATGAACGCAATAAATTGGTCGCGCAAAGTCTTTCTTCACGCTCTTTGTGCGACGGAATGTGCGCGACGAAACTTCTGTCGCGCAGAATTATGTGCGACTAAATGTAACTTTGTGTGACGAAAGTTCCTTCGTCGCCCAAAGAGTAAAATGTAGTAGTGTGGTAATGAGCGATTAGATGGGAGTAGTAACTCAGCTGGAGGATTGCCCGTCCAAGGTGTCTAGCGAAAGGGAACTCGGAAACTCTTTAATTAGAGGAAAGACCAAAGTTATTATATATACTCTCTGGAATGAGAATGCAAAGGTTTGAGATTGATACAGTTTTGGTTAACGTTTCTGTACTTGAAATTTGCTTGATTTGTGTTATTTATATGTAAACGTCCCAAAACTATAATTAACTGAAAGTACAATGGGTGATTTTATGGAAGTGCTTTTGTAATATGGAAAGGCAAAATAAACAAACAAACGCTCTTTAAATTTTTTTTTTAATGTGATTCTTCCCCTTTCAATCTCAGCTTGTGGAGTTTACCCTTCTGCCTCCCAAAGTAAAACTAGATTTCCTTCTTTGAACTCATAGCCTTTCAAAAAAATTGAACAATAAGGAAAGTGGCTTTTCTTCTGAACAAGTCGATGAACTCCCTCCCATGAAGCAATCTCACCACGCAGCCCCTGGACGAAAGCAGAGAGAAAAGCCTCTCCAACCATTTGTTTTCTGTTCTTTGCAAATACCTTTAAGTGTGGTTGAAACTGTGAAACTTTTAAGATTTGTTGCCTAATAAAGCGATTTTCAGAATGTCCTATGGCTACCAAATTACTTGATCCGAATTTGATGTGGTAGACATAGGATGAATGGGTTGTGCTATTTCCTAGGGTCACTAACTGAAGCACCTAAACACCTTTAATTGTGTGTTGCAGACTTGCAACGAATGCATGTGATGTATGATCCAGACGATAAGGCTCTCTTGTTGTGGAGATCCTTACCGTTGTCATATAACCACTTCCAGATGACATTTATGTTTAGCAAGAGCACACTGAAATTTGAAGAGCTTGTGCATGATATTCTCTGTCATGCAAGGATGTCTTAAGGAGATGATGATTCTCATGAGGAAGGACTGTACTGTATGGCAAGAGTTCGAGTGAGAAAGGTCGAGCAAAATAGGGGTTGGAAGATAGGTAAAGGTGGGAATTCTAAATCTAAGGACTATGCTGGTTGCTTCGAGTGTGGATCAAAAGACCACTGGAACCTGCATCCCAGACTTTCAAATATCTAGATTTCAAAACTACCTATCAAAGTTATTTGAGATGGGCAATTCCTCCAATGGTACATGCAAGTTTAGGTTAAAGGGCCTCTAAGTTACATGTAATGTAGAGACCCTTCAATATTTATATATGCCCATAAAACAAGAAAGAATTCAATTTATTGCATGATAACAAAAGAGTCGTAGGGTTCTTGTGGTGGATGTTGTATTAGTAATTTCATCCTCTTTCGAAGGTAGGCTAGCCACTGTAGACAGACTTTATGTCTTCTTTGTAATTCTTTCGTCCTTGAGTCTCATGAACATTTGTTCTTTGTATAGAGGCTCACTCTGCAATTTTTGTTGCACAGAATAATTAAAACTTTTTTATTACAAAATACGAAAATTTAATTTGTAAAGAGACAAAATTCTGAAAATTTTGGTTTATTTATTTATTTAAATTTTTTTGGTATTTAAATTGGCCGTTGACGTCAGCCTGCCCAGGAAGTAGCCCAAGCAAGTCTTGCCCAGTATCGTGGACCCGCTTCTTGCCAATGCAACTTTTCCTTTCTGGGGGTTGTTTTTGGAGCCTAGGCCCCCCTTTTACCATGGCAAAAGAGGATGGGTGGAAGTGCTCTGACGCACCTATAGAAGAAGAAGACATGACCGACCAAACACAAGCAAGCCTTCGACTCTCAATAAACCAAAAGGCCCAAAGTATTGAATAGGGTTTAGCCACAAAATTCTCTGAGCTTAAGACTTTTCTCAGTATCCAAACACACAATACCTACCTAATTTTCTCATAACTATATTCCTATATTCCTATCTTCTAAGATTCCCATATCTTCTAATAAGATTCCAACCTACATTTAAAGTGTCTCATTGGAAAAAAAAAGATCAAACAAACAAAAAGGAATAGCTGTAAATTATGGTCTTCGTTTCACATTGTGCCCTTCAATTATTCTTTTATACAAGCGATGTTGGGCTTCAATTATTTGTTTGATCAACATGAGCTTTTGAGAAGTTCTTATTTGCCCTTTACCATCTTCTTTTGTCACAATTTCTATTAATTTAATCACGCACGTAGCTTTTTTTTTAGTGACATTTTTGTTCATTCACCTCCACTTAATCCAAACCACAATAACAATATCCCTCTCTGCATCTCTCTCTCTCTCTCTCTCTCTCTCTCTCTCCACTAAGAGCTTCCACAGTGGGAAGGTGTAAATTTGGGGTTGTAAAACCGCTTTTATATCCCATTTACACATCTCCTGCAGATATAAATTATATTTTTGCTCCAATGGATGAGATGTATATCTAAAAATGTAAATTTAATTTTCTTGTATTGACTCGTTTTTGAGTTAACTAAGAGCAGATATAGGGCTGACGACTACTCTACAAATGATGTTGTCTCTATAGTTGCCACGTCTATTTTCTGACCCTTTTTTTTTGGTCAATAGTGATGAAATTTCCATTAAGATGATGAAGGCAAGCCATGAGTGGTAGCCGAGACACATCAAATGAAACCAGGAGTTCGTAGGCTAAAAGACATATCTAAAAGCCCCGAGACATAAAAAGAAAAGCAAACAAACACATAGACTTCATAATTAAGTACAAACAGATCACCAAATGACAGAATGCCTTGATTAACAAGAAACAGACCATAATTTAGCTAGACTCCTTAGCTATATCTATCACACAATAAGTTAATTGGCAAAAGTAACGATTCCATCCATGATCTTACACACAACCTCTTTAGACTCCTTGAGCTTTTTGATGCTCTTGATGAGCTTATTGCGCTTCACTGCAATTGATGGAGGTTCCTCCATCATCCTCTCAATCCCAACACCATTGTTAGGTCCCATTAACTCACTCACAATCTCCGTCTCCATGTGCTTGTCGACAAGATTCCTACCTACGTACATTAAAGTGTCTCATTCGAAAAAAAGATCAAACAAACAAAAAGGAATAGCTGTAAATTATGATCTTTGTTTCACATTGTGCCCTTCAATTATTCTTTTATACAAGCGATGTTGGGCTTCAATTATTTGTTTGATCAACATGAGCTTTTCAGAAGTTCTTATTTGCCCTTTACCATCTTCTTTTGTCACAATTTCTATTAATTTAATCATGCACGTAACTTTTTTTTAGTGACATTTTTGTTCATTCACCTCCACTTAATCCAAACCACAATAACAATATCCCTCTTTGCATCTCTCTCTCTCTCTCTCTCTACTTCCTTTCTTTTTCTCTGATCACAATCGCTACGCAGAAGGGCCATCTACATAAAATATGCATCCTCATCATTTCAACAAACGGACGAAATACAAGACGTACGAGGGAACATTGGAGCTTTCCAAAAGTTATGGAGGAATAAATACCAAAGCGAAAGTCGTAAGGTTAAACTGGAATATGGTTCTTTAATTTGGGAAAAAAGAAAAAGAAAAAGAAAAAAAGAAAAAGAATATGGCTCTGTACCAGAAAAAACGAAGAAGGAATTTGGTTCGAACACTACGATACTTTCCACTAAGAGCTTCCACAGTGGGAAGGTGTAAATTCGGGATTGTAAAGCCACTTTTATATCCTATTTACACATCTCCTGCAGATATAAATTACGTTTTTGCTCTAATGGGTGAGATGTAAATCTAAAAATGTAAATTTAATTTTCTTGTATTGACTTGTTTTTTAGTTAACTAAGGGCAGATATAGGGCTGACGACTACTCTACAAATGTTGTTGTCTCTATAGTTGCCACGTCTATTTTCTGACCTTTTTTTATTTTTTGGTCAATAGTGATGAAGTTTCCATTAAGATGATGAAGGCAAGTCATGAGTGGAAGCCGAGATACATCAAATGAAACCAGGAGTTCGTAGGCTAAAAGACATCTAAAAGCCCCGAGACATAAAAAGAAAAGCAAACAAACACATAGACTTCATAATTAAGTACAAACCGATCACCAAATGACAGAATGCCTTGATTAACAAGAAACAGACCATAATTTAGCTAGACTCCTTAGCTATATCTATCACACAATAAGTTAATTGGCAAAAGTAACGATTCCATCCATGATCTTACACACAACCTCTTTAGACTCCTTGAGCTTTTTGATGCTCTTGATGAGCTTATTGCGCTTCACTGCAATTGATGGAGGTTCCTCCATCATCCTCTCAATCCCAACACCATTGTTAGGTCCCATTAACTCACTCACAATCTCCGTCTCCATGTGCTTGTCGACAAGGTTCGAAACACTCAGCTGCAAATGCAAAGCCATAGAATCAATCAACCTTTTCAGCACAACATTCCAATATGCAGTCATCCGCATTTTCAAGTCGAAAGCTTCAGACAATAGAGAATGTGGGTACTTCATTAGACCTCCAACTTCAACCATCCCAATTCCCTCTACATTTATTTTCATCTCAGTGTGAGGTCCAAGTCCCAGATCATGAGAATTACGAAATACCTTTGTGATGAATGTTTCTTGTTCAGTCATGAGCCTATGCCATTCGGATACATATTCTGGATTACATGTATAATCAGTCAGCTTCTCCATTTCCAAAATCTCCGTCATCCAATGAATGGACCTTTCTTTCATCCTTTGAATAAGATTTTGGCATGCTCTTCTGGCAGACAGTTGAAGCTGATAATATTTTTCTGTATTTCTCATTAACACAGACAAAACCACATTCTCAATATAATTCCATACCTGCTCAACAAACCCAAGAGGTATGACTGAAATCCCCTCCACTTTTCCCCGAAAAATTTTAAGAAAAGCATTGCGCTGAACAAAATTGGGAAGGTTGATACCTTTCGCCTCCTCCAAAATCGCAATCTCCTCTACTAAGAAATTACTTTTGGAGTCACTCGCATTGCACGTGTGAAGTTTATATGAGCACTGATTGAGCATCTCAACCAGCATAGCCGTGCAATGCATTTGTTGGTCATCCTGGAACACGTCATCAAATTCTCCCATCAAAAGAATCTTCTTAAGTGATTCTTTGGATGCTCCAATGATCTGCATAAAAGCAGTCAGGGCCTCAACAGCAGTTGACAGAGTTTTCGGCAATTTGTTGAGTTCTGAAAGGTAAGAATTCAGCTTGTCATTGATCTTCTTTACAATATCAGGCAAGTTTCTAGCTATGCTAGCAGCTTGAATTTGGACCAACTTGTCAGCCAAAACCTGAATTCCAACCATAGACTTATCAATCTTTGAAAGAAGGGGATGAGTTTTAAATAATCGATCCGCAAAAGCCCTCGCCTCCTCGTACGTTTCTTCTCGAATCCGGTTCCTTACACAGACATAGCCAAGACCAATATCCACATCATCAGATGTAACCTTCTCCAGCAGTCCCTCTGGTGCCATATCAACCTTTGTAACCACAGCCAGAGTCCTCTCACCAGTTTTATCGACATTCCGCGACATACTAATTGACTCACATGTGCTAAAATCAGTAGAAGCAGATAAAACATTCAAAATGATGCTCTCATCTGGTTTTATATACTTCATGATCATATCTTTGATTTGATCATAGATATTCTCAGGCTGGCCATGAACTGGAACTCTAGTAATTCCAGGGAGGTCTACCATGGTCAAATCAGGCACACCATTCTTCTTCACCAACAAGGTCAATGGGGTGTCTGAAATTCCCTTTTTGTCCCCTGCAATCAGATTAGTAGCATTCACAATGTCTTGTGAAATGTTTTCCTCATCAGTCTGCTGAACTCTGCCATTGTACTCCAGTGAAAGCTCTGGTTCAGGATCAGAGTGGTGCTGAAGCCTCATTACGAGAGGAACCCTTGTGCAGATACCTTGTCCACGCGGCAGGCTGATGCCGGCGAGGGACTCAAGAACGCTGGATTTGCCAGATGACTGGTCTCCCACAACAACAATGGTGGGCAGCTGGATGCCTTCCTCCATAACCATGAGGGCGCGGAGCTTGTCAATGGCATCAAGCATAGGGCGAATTTTGTCGTTGTAGGATGAGACAATTGGCGTGTTGTTGAAAAGTAGCTGTGCTTTTGATGAGGAAAATGATAAGCCTTCTTGATCATCTTGTAAAATGGATGAGCTTGATGATCTGCTTCCTGAATCAGTTTGAGTTCTTTTTCCTCCCATTTTCTGAGATATAATTGAAAGCAAATGGGAAGAGGAAGTCATGGACAAACCGAGAGGGGAGAAAAAATTGAAGGGGGTTGTTTTAGGCAAACTTGACCTCTGCCTAACAGAGAAATCATGGATAAATAGAGAAAAAAGATACATGAACATGACATGCACAATGTGAAAGATGCAGACATAGGAATCTTTTACCTTAATATGGGAATTTATGCTTTGGTTTTTGTTTTACATCGGAAGGGAACTTATGCTTTTGTACATCAAATAGTGGCCGAAAATGCTTGAACCACTCACTTCAATAATGCATGACAAGTTACAACACAAAATGGTGTCTACACTATCAAAAGTATCAGTGAAGTTCTCTTCAGTGTTCACACTATCACACGAATTTAAACGCAAGAATATAAGAGTGAAAACTTTTAGACCATCTCCAAAGGTAAAAGACTCAAACCCGAAATTTCACCTCCAGAAATACAACTTTTCATCTATACATAGGACTCAAACTGTTTTTTTTTTTTGGCAGGTCTTGTTGTGGCTTCACCCCTGTGCAAGTGGGTGATAGTATTACTCCAGAATATGGACCGGTGTATCTACAGTAACGGCGCGTGGACTTTTATGTTATCTTGGACTCCCGTGTGCCTTCAAATATGAAGGCCTCAAAATAGGAGTTCAAATTTAAGTGATTAGAATAGATGAGATCGCTATGTCATGTGCAATATATTTTAAAAAATATGATATATCAATACAATTACTGCAATTAGATTAGTGATGGCCCTCTCAAAAAATGAAAAAACCTATGTGTAAGTGATTTAGTAATTTTGGCCCCCTCCATGCTAAGAATCCTAGCTCCGCCACCGCACTTGCTTATTACATTTCGTGTTCTTAAGAAATCTACATATTATATTCAAGAATCAAGCTCAATCGCATAATAGTAAGAAAAGGAAAAGACTCAATATTTAGAGCACACTTGGAGCCCTAAGTGGTGTGCTCTCCAAGAGCATAGCATTTCAGGGCATGATCAAGCTGATCATCTAGTTTCATACAGGACTTGCACTCTTGCTTGTTTGAAGCCAAAAGAGAATTCTTATTAGGATAGGCACAATTCATATTTACATGGTTAAGAGCACAATAGAAAACGAGGGTGCATTTATCGTTAACATCTTCAACGAGAGTGGAGATTTTATCATAGGGAAGTGTCACTTTGCGTAGTGCAAAGGCCCTGCTATGCTACGTGCTCATCTGTTAGAGTCTGCCTATGTAGTATTGGCTTGAACGAGTTGTACCTAAAATAATACAAACTCAACTAAGTAATGAAGAAGAGTGAAATTGTGTTCGGTGACGATTCGTTTAAGTTACTTTTACAATTTTTTGAGCTCAGTATATTCCTCTCATAAAAATCATGAACAGCTCAATTATAAGAAATTCGGTTTGGATATTGGTGTATATTTGGATTAATAAAAAAAAATTCTATCTAAAAAAAAAACAAAAAAAAAAAAAAAAAAAAAAAAAAAAAAATGTTTGTTTTAACGCCCTCTTAAAAAATAATTGTATATTTAGATTACTCAAACGAGAATTTTACTGTTGACAAAAAAAAAACACAAGAAACACAAGAAGTTGCAAATTGCAACCTCTGTCGAACGGACGAGAAGGCCCACTAGATCCCGCCGTTGAATCACCACCGTTCTGTTCAAACAGCCAAAACGAACTCAGCATGCTTCCAATCACCAATCCGCTGACTTCTTCAACCGTTTCGAAAATCGTCTGCAACAGACACATCTTTTGCGCCAAATTTATAACCTCATTTCACCAATCAAAAGACCAAATGTTAACGTGTAAGTATGGCAATGATGAAGCTCAATGCATCCCGTGATCGAGAATGCACCGAATCCCAGCACCGTCCAATGGTAGGAAATATCTAGAAATTTCTCCAAAAGTGGGGCCAGCATTTGACCTCTCAGCCACGTGACTTTGACGACCCTCACCGTCTGATCCGATCCGTTTTCTAAGCGCTTTAATTTATTTATTTCTTCAACATTTTTATTTTCTCTCTCTAGATTTTTATTTTTTTTCTCTCTAAGCGCAACCCAACACCCGGGCCCTCATTTTTCCCTCTCTTTCTCTCTGCAACCAAACCCTAAAAAACGCCAAGGAAATCTGAAATCCATTGCCATTGGATGATGCGAGAGAGCGCCGGTCGCCGCCGTCGAAGCCCAGAGAAGCAGTGGTGGGCGAATTATCCGGTGCGGGCGTGAGCATTGTGAAAATCGTGTGCAAACCAAACAAACGATTCCAATGGCTGAAGAGAAAGGGAGCAATTCTTGAAGATTGTTAAAAAGGAATCTGAAAATAAAAAAGATTGATTTTTGTTCGTTGGGGGTGCTTAGCATGTGTGATTTGGTGGCCCGTACGGGTCGGCATCAGCAACGCTACGAGGCCGGTTGTCGCCTTGTTGCCGGGTACTTACATTTCTTCGAATCTATATTTTATTGCATATGTGTATGTGTATGTGTGTTTATTTGTTTGTGTATGTTTGATTTTGATTGATGTTGATGTTGTTTGTTTATGTGGTATTTTGGTGGTGGAGGTGGACCAATGTGTTTCCATAGTTGGAGAATTTTGCTTGTGATATGGTTTTCTGATTCTGGATAATATCTTTTGATTGGTTGATGCCTACCATTTGGACTTTTAAGTGGTGGGGATTAATGGGTTTCTTTTGTTTTATTGTGAGTATGCATATATACATGTTTATTATATGGAGTAGGTGAGAAATGCTGTTTTATTAGGACAAGCAATGACCTTGTGTTATGTGAGAATGATCTATATTTTTTTCATCAGAAATCTTTTTCGAATCACATATGAACGTTTTCTTTCATTTGCAAATATTTTGGCCTTCATTAACTATGTCATTTACTGTTTGAGGATTAGGGAAACTAGGAATTTTTTAAAATGGTGATGCAGTAAATAAGATTATTTCGGTGATACGATTTGGGTAAATTGTCATTGAGGCAATGATTGTGGGCAAGGACCCTACTTCTGAAGTACGAAAGTGGCCTTGTGAGGTGAATTTCTTATTACATGAAGACATGCTGCAATCGGATAAGTCAAGGAGTTGAGTTAAACAAAAAATTTGAAAGGAAATGATGTTCCATTATTTATATGTCCAAATTTCATGCAGAGGGCCTAGGGAAGTCAAAGCTTCTAGCCACCTACTTGGGCACGGCTTTCTGTACAGTATGTTATACCGCGATCAGTAGTTTTTGTCAGCTGCTGCTAATTTTTGTAGACAATAGTCCTGCCATATGTTCTTTAAGAGGCCGCTCTTTTATTTTTGGGTGATCTGTGCGATTAGATGAAATAGGCTGTTTTAGTTTTCTCTGTGTTAAAATGATGGGATGTCGATCACACATATAAAGAGTGAGCTTGGTAGTATGACGATAAATAAATTGTTTGCCAGGGCCGAGAGATCATGCAGACATTCATATATAGATAAGATTCTCACTTTTTTCTTCTTTTTTGTGTGTATTTTTGTTTTTGTTTTTTTTGTTTTGTTTTTTTTTCGGTAACCGATCTTAAATTAGCTTTGATTTTATTTGCTGGTACATTTATCTGTGTGACCAATTATTTTTTCTCTGATGTGAAGAAGCTAACTCAGTTAACCTTTGACAGGTGTATTCCATTTAGATACAAAAATTCTGATGAGACTGGTGATGCCAATTCTGAGAAGATTATTGAGGTGCTTATGATTAACTCACCTAGTGGACCAGGCCTTTTGTTCCCAAAGGTATTTCTTGTTTTCTGTTGGCATTTAAAATTGTTGGACTTGGTGAGATCTTTCTTTCTGAACTTTAATTTTAGGAATAACTTATTTTTAGATATAATTTATTTTTCTTCTGTCATCTTACTAATAGATACATGGTAAAAATGAGTTTAAAGGTGTGAAAAATGTCACTCTCAAAGTAATCTATGATTGAGGGTTGGTGGATAGCAACTTGAGGTTGATAAGATTGCTTTTCTGGCTAACATTTATAAGAGGTAAAGCTATTGTCTTTTCTTGTATCACCTTTAGATACATTTAAGTACTACTATAATCACCCGGGGCTTTAAAAACTTAGAGCAGAAAATATCTGCCATTTTCTATTGGCTGTAAGTGTATCCCAGTTACCTCAGTTATCAACCTGTAGGACGCATTCTCTTTACCTGCTATTTGGGTGGGTTATTTTCAGAGGCTTCATAGAAATCGTCTGATTAGACCTTCTATTTTTCTGATCAAGTATGACAGTAGTTTGTTTTTGGAGAAAAATGAATTTGTTAAGAGACATGGGCAATAGTTCTATTGCATGATTCAATTAATTATTAGGCCCTTAGATATATTTCCTCACTTTTGTTTTGACATCTGTAATTTTTAGCTGGCAACAGAACTATGGTTATGATTTATCATTTGCCCAAGATATGCAAATGTAGATATGGATGCTTTTTGTTGTGATGTTATAGTGCCCTCTTTTATAATTGGAACTAGATTAACACTTTCGGACTTTTGTTCTTCTGATTTTAATTTTGTGAGAAGAAATATAGTCAACTGGTTCCGTATAATTCTGTGTTTATTGTTGAGTTTACGAAAGATTTAATTGTTTAGGTGATGTTATGTTTGAAATGTGATGACTTCTTTGTGGACATGCAATTCGAAGTTGAGTTTACACTTGGTAAATATTCATGATCTGCGTACCCATAGAGTTATACAATCTCTTGTGTTTTCCTTTGTTGTTTACCCTTTATGATATTCGAAGTTTGTGTGAAAAACTAGTGAGTTTTAACACTGGGGGTGGTATTTGGATTTGATTAAATGAAATGAGGAACTACTTCGGAAAGTAAAAAATGACAGCACTTGGATGTTTCAGTTTTGCAGCTTCTTACAAATTGGGGCTTATTTTATGGTGTATTCTTGCTTTATTGATTATTATTGTGTCCTGTCATGCGTATTGTAAGTTAGGTTGTGATTGTTCAAATGTGGAATGTACGTAGTGGGCCTGTGAAGTGCTCACATGTTCTTGTTTACTGTTGATTTGGGAGCTGTAATTTATAGTGTATTGGAAAGTTGAAGGCGATGTGAATTTGAAATATTGGGATGGTGTTGAAGGTGTACTTGAACATATGTTTACATTAGCAATGCTGGATATATCAATAGAGACTTTGTCTTTAGTGTTAAGCACAAGTTATATAACTCAGTATTTTTAAAAGTGGACCTAGGAGTGATCGCTACATTCTTGAGGTGAAGAAGATTATTCATTTTTTTAATGAAAACTTTACATATACTTTGCAATATCGATAATATGTAGATTTATTGCCAAGGCTCCCACCAGTTTATAACAACTATTATGTGCTTCCTCCAGGTAGGATATACGTAACTCTTTTATTTATGAATATGTTACCCACTTGCAGGGAGGCTGGGAAAATGATGAAACCGTTGAGGAAGCTGCAGTAAGGGAGGCTGTTGAAGAAGCTGGAGTTCGAGGAGAGCTAATGGTGAAATACATCTTCTTAACTTTTATTTGTTCTAAGATTTATTCTGTGAAGGGGGTAGAATAAAGTTGTATTCTTAGCATTGAATATTTGCATGTGTTTTGATACTTGTCTTTTACCAAAAAAATTTATATTTGTTGTCCTGTCTTCCCAATAGATGGTTAAAGCAGAGCAACTGTTAATCTTTTTGAATTTCAGGATTTCCTGGGCTTTTATCATTTTAAGAGTAAAACACACCAGGATGAGTTCAGCCCGGAAGGTGTATGTAGAGCTGCTATGTTTGCTTTGTTTGTCAAGGAGGAGCTCGAGTCGTGGCCCGAACAGAGCACCCGAAATAGAACTTGGCTGACTGTAGCGGAGGCCTTTGTCAGTTGCCGGCATGCATGGATGAGAGAGGCCTTGCAGGATGGCTTCTCAAAGTGGCATGCAGAAAAGATGATTAGTGCAAGGAATGATGTAACATTGAGTTGCTAGTTGGGGTGTGAGGCTGAACAAAAAGTCGTTTCGGGTGCATGCTCATAGACATAAATACAGGTGCTGGAATTGGTTTTTTTTGGGGGCATTTTTCTATTTTGTCAGTTGGTCATCGAGTAACAACCTCTTAACAATATTAACTGTTCAAAATTACCTAGTCACTGTCCCTTAAAATTTATTCTTGTTTCCAGTTGATCTCTTTGATATTTAAACTCAGAGGGTCAAGTTTCAGCTTCCCTGTATAACATTTTCTGTTGCATAAACGTTTAATTGCCATATTCTCATGAGCATTATTTCCCTCCAATGTCGAATGATTTGATATGTCATGATCCACAGAAGCTAAAAATTCCAAATCTTGAACTTCTAAAACAGGATCATTAGCTTGCTCAGTTCGAATGAAGTTATGCAATACAAAGCATGCATTTATGATTCTAACTTGCGTTTTGATGTTGAAAAATGAAGGTGTACGTAATATACTCCATTGTTTCTTCAATAGTCCAAATCCTCTTTCAACTACATTCCTTGCAATTGAATGACGTAGATTAAATAACTCTTTGTAATTTTCAGGTCAATTGTTCCCACTCCATTCACTCAAGTGATACCTAGTTCCTCTATACGGTGCTAAAAACCCCGGTCCATTAGTATAACCCGCATCCACAAGATAGTACTTATCTACAATAAGAAATTTTAAAAAGAAAATTAGATATAAAGAGCTTGTATTGAAAAAAGAAGAAGGAAAGAATATCAATCTAATTTAAAACTAGTATTAAAAATTACCTCTTGCAACATGAAATCGGTTGTTCCTACGTAAAGCATCTGGCAATATACGAGCATCAGATGCAGAGCCCTCCCATCCAGGTAATACATAAATAAATCTTAAATTTGGAGCACAAACCCCTAAAACATTAGTGGAGATATCGCCCTTCCTATTTCGATATCTTGGTCTTTCTTCTGCCGACACTGTTACCGGAATGTGAGTTCCATCAAGTGCCCCAAGACAATTCTAAACATGAAGTATAAAAAAGTATAAGTATGAAATGTAAGATAACTAGTTGAAAAATAAAATAAAAATCTTATTTTTTTTCTAGTTATATAAGTACCTCAAACCACTGCCATTTGCTTCTTTCGGAACTCCCAACAGTACTTGGCTGGAACTTTATGTATTCTTCACTAATTCTCATCATGGCATATAAGACTTTGTTAAATTGCTGACTAATTGTTTCGATTGAACGGTAATAGTCAAAACCAATGACTCTGTATTTCAAGTTGTGAGCAATTATTTTCAAAAATATTGCTACATATTCTTCAATTGAAATATTTCTTGTTCGAACCAACCCACCATTTTCTTCTAAAATTCTGCATAACTTTTTGAATGCACATTTGCTAATTCGAAATTGATCAATACAATCAACTTCTTTTCCATTGTACATGCGGTTCAAATAAGATCGCATTTCTTCATCCCAATCATGTGAAGGCTCTTTAACACGAAAATTATCATAATACCATTGTACTAGCGTAACCATAAAAGAGATCATTGTACAGACAATAATTTTCCTTCTCTTCCCTATAGCACGCTTCTGTCTTAACCTCGTTAACATGTTATCAACATTAACAGTAGCCATACCTGTTTATATGTGTGAATTAAACAACTACAGAGCAAGGAAACAATATAGAAAGTAGAGAAGACAAAAATCGATAAACTTAGTAAACAACTACAGAGCAAGGAAACAAAGGGCTCTATTGCTGACAGGTAGTTTTGCTATTATTTTTTAGATGCTTCTTTGCTACACCTTTCAAATTCAGATGCTTGTAAGTTTTATATTGGTGAGGAACATGAAGGTTAGGAACTATAGTATTGCCTTTTTACTGGCGTCTAGATAAGTGGGGGTTAAATGTGTTCCTTCATTGAATGGACTGAGTGGTCTCTCTTAGATGACATAATTCTGGAATTTATTGGTTGATCTAGTTGATGTTCATATTGAAGGTCTACACTCCAGAAAATGGTGTATCTCCATATTCTGGATACTTAATTATACGAAGTTACATAAACAGTAGACAGCATGTGTGTTTTTTTATTTGATTTTGATTACCTAACAGTGACCTGGATTTTATCTTTGAAATTAGAAATTAAGCAGGGACTATCTGATGCTGCAAATTCAAAAGTAACTGTTAGTTTTACTCCACATCTAATGCCAATGGTAACTATTATTCTCATATGCAATTAGAGATTCCATATTTTACAATTGACTTTTTGCTAATAGACTAAGCATTATTTTACTTTTGTCTTTTAGAGCTGTGGTATGCAATCAACTATCTATGTGGAACTGGCTCTGAGGGGCAGAAATCAAGGACTTACGCCAACAGTTGAAGTTATCCTACATAGCTGTGTAAACACCCAATGCTAAATGGCAAGATATTGATTGCAGGACTCCTACTTATGCTCCATTGATTAATAAATCTAACAAACAACTATAGAGCAAGGCAATAACACAAAGTGATAAAGCTAACAAACAACTACAGACCTGTACCATAAACACAAATCACACACAAATATCCATGGGCATAGACTATATTGTTAAGATTTCCCAAAACCCAGCCACAGTGCCACAAAGATCACAAAACCCATTCAACACATTCATAATTTTAGTCAGAAATACCCAATTTTGATAGCCATTTAGAAACCATGATAACCATAAACTAGAAAAATATAAATTGAAGGAGAGAAAGGCTTGAAGACTAAGCTTCAAACTTGATCCAGAGAGATGTGTAACCCAAGAAGAACTCCTCCTTACTTCTCTGGTTCGCAACTTTTTTATGATTCTCCTTACTTCTCTGGCTTGCAATACTTCTCTGGCTCGCAGCTTTTGTTTATAAAGCGACAAGGCAATATGTTGTCCAGGGTTTTATAGGTTTTTGGCGCTTTTTTTTTTTCCATGAAAAGTTTGGCTTTTTTTATTATAAATATTTTGTTTTAAGTTTTGGCACACTGGAAAATATGAATTCCCGCACTGTGGAAATTGTGAAATGACATCTATTTTGGTGGAAATTAAACTCGGGAATTTGATGCCTCAATTTCCATGATTTTTTCCGCGCGTCATTTAATAAATTCTGCGCTTAAGTTGCCAAACATGGGAATTGTCAATTTCTCCTCTTAAATTCCCGACTTTTAGCTAAATTCCGAGTTATTTTCCCTCATCCAAACGGAGGGTAATGGTGCATTATTGTAAAGTTGGAAACAAATTTCCAAAGATCATTCTTTACAAAGCTTTTGCGAATTAAAGCGTTAGGTTGCAGGGTGGGACTGGGACTCAAAGTTTTATAAGTACCCTTATAAAGCTTTTCAGATCTCATAAGATCCAACGGACAGAGATAAATTTGAACAATATGCACCACATATTGAAACAAAAATAAAAAAACATTAAATTATGTGGAGCATGATGTGAATTTATAGCACATAAGTTTATTTCTTCATATCATGACAAGCGGAAGTGATTGACAATTACATTTGGGTTGAAAGCAGAGCAACTGCAAGAAGCATCTCATAACGTTCAAATCTAGCTATCGCTTGCTCTTCCAAGGTCACCAAAGCTTCAATATAGCATTAACCAACATTATAGGTTTTTGTAGACATAGGAAAGGTGACCCGAATGGGATTCCCCTACCCAAAATTCTCATCATATAATGCAAAATTTGCAAAACGTGTACAACTAAAGATATCGAATCCCATCCTACCAAGTTCGATCCAAATAGAGAGTCAACAACCCAGTATTTTACAATCATTCTTGACGTCCGTTCCATCTTGTTCACTAAGGGCAGTTTGAAAGCAGAGGGAACATCATCCTCAGATCAACCCCGTCCTATAAACTTTGCGACTTCGATTCATATCACCTTATTCAAGCCACAAAATACACATACTACAGACACAAAAGCTGGTTTGTCAGACCAAAACCTGTTGAGGGAAAACAAATATCTCCCAAGACCAAATAGGAGCTGTTTTTTTTTCTTCAATAATAGGGTTGGGGAATCCAAACTTGGGATCTATTCCAACATCGGTGAGATAGAACATCTCCTCCAAAATTATTAGGGGGAAGTGCGATGTGTATTGCAGTAGATAAGACAACTATACAACATCATAAAAAACTGTGAACACTGCAAATGAAGCATCACATTCTCCATATCATAAACAATGAGCTTACATATTTGTTTATTCATCAAACATTGATAAGCCTGTAACTACTGATAAATCACAGCATACATACAAAGGACAGTTGAAATAACAAGCTTTTCTCATGACCTGCAGCACCGTTGTGCAGGCATTTTAATTTCTGTTTCAATCAAAGTTAGAAGCATTACCTGAAAACTATCATCCAAGTAAAGAATAAACAAGTGCTTTGGAGACAGAAACAGGTTACTCAACCGCAAATGATTTGAGAGGAGAAGCAATAAAGAAGTAAACTGATCCCCAACATACCACTCTCTTGATCTCAGAAAATCTCCAGAAGTTTTCAAACAAATTCATTTGTCTCCACAGATAACAATTGCCAAATGACTCCTGAGTATCCCATTAAAGCTGGACCTTTTGTTCCTAAAGGAACCCAATCATCAGTCACAGTTGCTGAGTTTTCTTTTCTCTTTTTCATAAGACAAGAAATCCCATACTTCCGGAATCACAATGACGTAATGATGCTTACCCAGGGCCAGCTGCTTGTGGGGAACAATTATTAACAGAGCAGGAATAAAGGTCTGAAAACCATTGCAAGATACCATTAATATAGCCCGTGCACACACATACAAATCAAGAAAGTGTGCGAAACTTATATTTCATATGCTCTTTCTGCCATTGACTCAAAGAAAAGGTAGAGTTATAGGATTGGAATATCATTGTGGTAGTGCACTCACTCTGGGTTCATCTCTTCGCAAGGCCACTAAGTAGAAAAATAAACTGAAACAGCAATAGAAGAGTAGAAAAAAGAAACATATGGGTTAGAGAACTGATATCGTCTAATTTGAAAAGTAGACAAAATAAATTGTTGTTTTCTCTCCTCTCCAGAATAGTTAAAGCAAGACATGAGTGTACTCTATCAAAAGCAATTTTCCAAGCAAGACAGTGCAGCATCAAGGGGTTAAAAAGTTGCAACATCATATGTCCTGGATATCCACTTTTCCTTGGTATACACACAACAACTGAGGTACTTCACCCAGATAACTGTCAACAAATCTCTCCAAGAACTCCTTCTCCACAGGTCCAAACACAGAATATAAGCTCAGATTTTCAGTATTTATCAATCCTTTTGACAACAAAACTCTAACAACCGAACACCTCGGGATGATTCTCTTCTGCAAACTATAATTCAAAACATATGGGGACTTGAGAATTATTTCTGACGACCATCCCATCTTGTTCACTAAAAGATCCATTGTTTGCATTATTTTCTTCTCTGACAGAGCAATACACTCCGGGCGCCTCCTGAAAGCAGAGAGAACATCAGCCTCGGACCAACCCCACCTGCTATAAACTTCACAATTTCGCTTCAATATCGGCTTATAATATGAACGACACATTATGCTTATTGCCATCACGGAAGTCGACTTTTCCAGGTTAAAACCCATTTCCTTAACCTCTTTCACAACTTGGCGAAACTTTCAGTATCATGTATCAAAGCATGCGTACAATGAGCTAGCAACAGAGAAATGCATGATTCAGGCATACCTAATTCTCTCAAAATCGCGATATTTGGCACTACTTTCTTGGTGTGGGCTTGCAAGAAAATCGACGAGTTGTACTTGAAAACAGAAACGATATTTTTCTCAGGAAGAAGACTCCTCAGGAAATTATAAGTGGGCACAAGCTGTTTCTCCAAGCTTCTTTGCAAAAGATTTGGATTCAGAACCAGCGTTTTTGCGAGGTCCTCCCTTGAAACTCCAAGAGAGCTGAAAAACTCAAGCTTTGGCAAAAGGGTTTGCTCAGGCCTGGCTAAAAGAAGTTGTGGGCGGGTTTTGCAAAACTTTGAGATCTGGATTGTAGAGAATCCATGGTTTCTCAGAAGACCCAAAACGGTGTCTGCATTTTCTGGGGACTGCAACTTGATCCACTTGGATGTTGAAATCGCATCTTCTGGCGACAACCCGCATGAGTTTATGAGGTAATTGACGGTGAAACTGTGTTGGTCTTCTGAGATTTCTGAGGTGAACTGTCTGCAGAGTATCCGATTTTGAACAGAAAAATGTGAGGGTTTTAGATCTCCAGCAATCAATATTTCAGTTCTGGAAGCAAATGTAGAAGGAGATAGTAAACAGACCAATCTGAGGCTCTTCAACTTGGAGAGCGGTATCATGGTAGAGGTCGCTGATGATTGTTAGGAGCGTAATGGCTAGAGAAAGAAAAAGAGAGGAGATAGAAATTGGAAATTGACAATATTCTCATCCATGGCAAGACTCAACTCAGCGCAAAGTTAAATACAAGGTATGATTCCTACACGTGCTCTGTCGCAACACACCTTACGTCCTAATCATCTGGATATCAGGTTAAATGCATCTCTAACTGATATGTCAAAAGTGCCACATAGACATTTAACGGCTAGAAATAATATCTCACATTACTCCAATCGATGTGTCAAAGCTGATGTGGAATGAAGGCTGGAGGTTGAAATGTTATTTTTGACATTCCAAAAGCAAGATGTCACATGAATATTTTATTATTTTTTTCTTTTCTTTTCTTTTTAATTAAAAATAAATCAACACTAAAATATAATAAAATAATAATTTAATTTGATATATCGAGTGGAGTGTAAAGTTGTGTAAGATGTCAAATTGCCACATTAGCTAAAAGACAAGTGAATTGGGTCATAACCCAGCTAAAGAGCCCATGATGGTATTGTACCCAACACCCCAAACCCTTTAAAATCAAAGGTTGTCCTCAGACTTCCAAGTGAGGAAAACGTTGCAGCATCTAGTTAGCGTCTTCCCAGTGGCATCCTCTGAATCCAAACCAATGAGTGACTGGTTTATTCCCACGTTTGAATAGGCCCCTGTCCAAAATCTTTTCAAGTTCCCACTGCAGTGTGCCATCAACATGAAGGGGTGGAGGAAGCTGTGGTGAAGGGGTGACTGTATTTCCCTCCTTCAGTTTCAATAGAGAAACGTGAAAGACGTTGTGGATGCGAGTGTTGGCTGGCAAATCTAAGCGATAAACTACGGGACCAATGCGTGCCTGAATTTTGAAGGGTTCGTAGTAACATGGGGAAAGCTTGGAATGATGAGTGTGACTGATGGTAGTTTGTTGATACAGCTGAAGGCGGAGGTAGACCTAGTCCCCCACATGGAATTCGCGGTCAGTGCGATGCCGATCAGCAAAGAATTTCATCCGTTCTTGTGCGACTTGCAAATTTTGACGCAATTGTTGGATAAGGGAGTCACGGTCTCATAATGCCAAGTCCACTGCTTGAACTGCAGTCGTATCGGGAGTATAATATTCAATTGAAGGCGGTGATTGGCCATAGAAAGCCTGATATGGAGACGTTTAATGGAGGAGTGGTAAGTGGAGTTGTACCACCACTCTGCTCACGGAAGCCATTGTACCCAGGTGTGTGGTTTGTCCCGCACATAGCATCTCAGGTAGTGTTCTAGGGATTTATTGAGATTCTCAGTCTGGCCGTTAGTTTGGGGGTGGTACGCAGAGCTGTGTCACAACTTGGTTCCTTGGGCAATGAAGTAGGCCTTCCAGAAATGACTAATAAACACCGGGTCTCGATCACTTATGATAGAATGAGGCATCCCATGTAGGCACAAAACTTCTCGAATGAAAACTTGAGAAATCTGACTAGCGGTATAAGGATGCTTCACCGGAATGAAGTGGCCATATTTTGACAAACGATCCACAACTACAAGAATACAATTTTTACCCTGAACTGATGGAATTCCTTCTATGAAGTCTATACCGATGTCTTGCCATGTAGCTTGAGGATGGACAATGGATGAAGCAGCCCTTGGGGATGAAGAGCTTCATATTCGTGTCGTTGGCATACATGACAACTTGCCACAAAGTGTTTCACCTGTTTTTTCAAGCCTGACCATCCTTGTAATGCACTCATATGTTCGTAACTGTCCAAAATGGCTAGTTGCTGGAGAGTTGTGGAACTCCTCCACAATTTGATCCCTCCACTCTGAAGTATGGGGAACATATATTTTGTTTTGTAAAAGAGGCAATTGTTCTGCCAAGAAAAATGTGGTTTAGTAGGAGCTTGGGCTTGCAAAGCCTGCATAATGTTCATAACTTTTGTGTCGATGAGGCAATCGGCTTTTATTTGTGACACACTATCAAAAATGGGTGTTGATAACCCCATGATGGCCAACAATTCTAGTTTGCGAGACAAGGCATCCGGCCCTGCATTTTGGGTACCAAAAAAATAATCAATCTCATAATCATACCCCAGAAATTTCAATAACCACTTTTCTTGTGTTGGAGAGGTGATTTGCTGCTCCAAAAAATACTTAATGTTCTGATGATTCGTCGAGATCTTGAAATGGCGGCCGATGAGGTATGGTCTCGAGTGTTGAACTGCAAATACAACTGACATCATCCCCTTGTCGTACATAGATAGGCTTTTGTGCTTATCTGAGAGAGCTTTACTCATATAAGCGATTGGATGTTTGTCCTTGTACAGAATGGCTCCAATTCCCACATTAGATGTATCACACGCAACTACGAATAACTCGGAAAAATCCGGTAGGGCTAGCACATGGGTAGTCATGAAAGCATCCTTGAGGTTCAGAAATGCTGATCGGCTTCTGTTGTTCATGCAAAATTATCTTTTTGCAGCATATGAGTTAGTGGCTTGGCTATCGGGCCAAAACCTTGTACGAACTTCCTGTAGTATCCAGCTAGTCCCAAAAATCCTCTCAACCCCTTAATGGTAGTGGGTTTAGGCCACTCCTCTATACATTGCACTTTGATTGGATCCACTGCCACTCCAGCTGCAGATATGACATGCACATTTTGAGAACTTCACCTTTAGCTGATGAGCTCTCAATACCTCGAAAACATGAGCCAAGTGTGTAATGTGCTCAGATAAAGTTATGCTATAAACTAATATGTCATCGAAGAAAACTAGGACATATTTACGTAAAAAGGAACGAAAAATTGAGTTCATCAAAGCTTTAGCTAATTGTGGCTGTATCAGCCTTACTCCTCCTTCATTCCCACAATTAATAATGACAGCCTCCTACCTTGAATTCCTTGAGTTTTTCTTTAAAGTTCCAACCAATCAACCCCAGGGTTTCTAACCACTCAGCCTCCAGTACCAAATGGCACCCTGCAACAGCCAATAATCTGTAGTTATTGCGAAACTTGAACATTTGTAAATCATCTGCAATATTATAGACCACGCCTTTAGTATCGTAGGCAATGTTTTCGAAGGTGAGGCGTATAGGCGAGGCGTTTTTAGTAGCGCTATACGAGGCGTAAGCCTTGAAGTATTGAGGCGTAAGCCTTTTGAACATTAAATTATTTTAATAACAAAAATTTATAAATAATACAACACAACTAAATTATAGTACTAATTCGTATTTTTGAAAATTATTTATTCACCATCAAAAGAAAAACTCAATTCATTCATCCCACCCCATAGAGGCAAAAGAGTTTAATAGAAACTTTATAAAACTAGGGAGAAGAGGAACAAAATAGTGGACAAGAATATCGGGTAAGGGTTAATATCTTATGCGGCCGGGTTCAGGTCCAACTTGGGTATAATATTAATGTTATAGTATATAATATATATAGGTCCAGGTTACAGTTGGGGAGTCAAAACGTGCGTTTTACTTAAAATCAAGAAACCAAAACCTTAAAACGAAGTCGTTTCATTGAAGAAAACCTAAAAAAAACTTCATCTTGTTCATCGTGCTATAGGCTTGCAGAACGCAAAAACAGCGGCGCCGTTCTGCCTCGCTCCGCCTCGACCGCCTCATCACGCCTTGATGCGCCTCACTCCGCTAAACGTGCAGCAAGCTAAACAGACGAACGCTTGAGGTGATTTCCATTCACCTAGCTCCGACGCGCGCACTAGGGCGCGATTAGGCATGCCTTTGAAAACACTTATCGTAGGTATTGCCAGTAGCGACTACTACCTTCTCTGTATCTTTGGGATTGATAACTTTTCCTAATCTTTGAGCCATGCTTGGGTTTAGGAAATTCTGGTCTACCCTTGAATCAATAAACACATGGATTGGCATCCTGTCAATGAATCCCTCCAGACACATAGCTCTTCCTCTGATTCTCTTTTCTGCTGCAATAGAATTTAAATGGATGGGTACCTCATCCCCCTTTTCACCAGTTTCTGAGTATTGTCCTAGTTCCCCCCTTGTATGATCAGTCTCCTCATTCCTCACCCATTCTAATTCAATCATTAAAATGTGGGGGGACTTGCAATGGTGACCAGGGGTGTAGGGATCATCACAGTGGAAACACAATCCTTTTTGCCGTCATTCAAGTAGCTCTAATTGAGTTTTGCGGTGCATTGGAGTATGAGAATGGTTTGTCATCGTTTTGATGTTGGAGGGCACTGAAGTAAACCCAGGTTTTGGGCGAGGTGCTATTGTGGGTAACCCCATTCTACGTCTAGAGTGTTTGCTTTTAAAAATTTGAGCCAATTCCATGGCTCTTGCCAAAGTCTGAGGTTCGTGTGCCAAGACGTCGTCTTGGATCTCTTCCTTAAGGCCACCCACAAATGTTCCCACTAACTGCTCGTCTCTCTAGCCCACAGCTCTACACGAAATTTTAATGAATTGGGCTATGTAATCTGCCATTGAGCTTAATTATTTGATTTGTGACAGAGCCATGTTGATGTTGATAGCCTCACCCGGTCCAAATTGTTGCAACATCATCTCCGAAAATTTACCTCACGAGTCTCATGGGTATTGTGCCTCGAACCATTTCATCCATAGAGCGGCATCACCACCTAAATGCATCATTGCTATTGTGACCTACTTAGGTTATTTGACCTCATGATATGCCAGGAACCTCTCTGCTATAACAAACCACCCATATGGATCCTCCCCATAGAAGGGTGATAAGTCGAGCTTCATGGGTTTCATTGAACTACCTGAACTAGTGACAAACATGGGGTTGGGTATTGGGTTATGTGTCACATCCCGGGGTCGGCTCCGCCGTAGCACGATATTGTCCTCTTTGGGCCCCTTCTTTGCCCTCACGGTTTTGTTTCTGAGAGCTCACGAGCAACTTCCCAATGGGTCACCTATCCTGGGATTGCTCTAGTCCCAACTCGCTTCACTTCGGAGTTCCCATGACTCCGAAGCCAGTGAGCTCCCAAAAGGCCTCGTGCTAGACGGAGGTGGGCATGTACATATAAGGCACATAACCCCCTCTTCGTTGATCGATGTGGGATGCTACATTATAAATCGTTAGTCCTGTGGTGAACTGGTGAACTGAGGAACTCTGATTTTGAGCATTTGTTCTGGCTTGCGGATGCAAGAGAGATGCAAGCAAGGGCAATTGAACATAGTTGGGACTTGGAATTGTGGTTTGCAAGGAATGATGGTGCAGTGAGGGCGAACACCCAACGGCCCATGGCCATGGCAACCGTCATATGGTTTGCAGCTCTAGGATTCGCACTAGTTGTCCCCCCATGGTATTGGTGTGTCATCAGAGGCAACATGTTGGTCGGCATCGTCATCATCACCGTCGTACGCTCCATCCTTGAAGGCGTCACACTCTTACTCTTCAAAGCCCTAAATTCCTCCAGCACCAATTGTTGGAAGGAAGCTTTTGCGCTTGCTATGCACTTAGCATTTTCAAAATTTCTAAGATGTTGGATTGGAATTCCTACTGGCGAATTCAGATGGTTGATACTATCCCTTGAAACTGCTGGAGCTGAGCTTCAAGGTGATCTCTATGACACTCAATTTCCGCTTCAACCATTATCGCAAGATCTGTTGCGACGGCCGCCAATTGCACCTTCTTGCCCATTGAGAACGAACTAGGATCTTATACCAATTGTTAGGAATGCAATGTCTTGAGAAAGAAAAAAAGATAAAATAGAAATTGGAAATTGACGATATTCTCATTCATGCTAAAACTTACATCCTGATCACCCAGTTATCAGGTTATTGGAAAAAATAGAAAAGATCCTATTGACTAAGAGACAAGTGGATTGGGCCATAACCCAGCTAAAGAGCCCATGATGGTATTGTACCCAACAATGATCAATTTGGAAAATTGAAAACCCCAAACGAGGTTTTGGCACTTACAAGTTAACTATTCTTCTGGGCTATTGTTAGAGCTAATGTTGTGGCAGTAGTGTGTGACAATTAGGGCAAGTTGTTAAGAGGGTGAATGAGACCAATACCACTTTGTGATCAAGAGCAAGTTGAATCCCGAGTGGGGACACCTCATGGTATTAAAAAAAAAACCAAAAAAAAAAAAAAGAACAATATAAACCAAGGCTTTTTATACAGAGGACCCACTGATGCAGTGGTTCGAAGCAATGCTCTATCAAGAAAGGTTTAGAGTTTGAGTCCTAGCATCCATGTATTTTGTGTGAGTTTAGTATGCCAATAGAAAGGGTCCCCAAATAAGAAACCAACGTTTTTTTTTATAATTATTCTTATAGTTTTAAAACTTTATTTTCAGGCACAGTCGACCTGTCGCATCCTAGCTATCGACCGGTCGTTTATGCACATAGAGTGATTTCATCCTCGCCAAACTCAATTGACCAGTCAAGTTCCAAATGTCGACTGGTCATTAATTCATAAAGAGCACCATCTTCAGCTCCAGACTCTGGCAACTGATCGTTTTCTCCAGTGCGACCGGTCATTTTCTTCTTGAGAGTAACATCTTTAAGTACATCATTATGCAATTCAAGTCCAAGATTCTCCAATCCAAGACTCTTTAATTTACTCCCCTTCTTCCTCTGAATTGGAGATGAGGGAGAGACATAATAGGGCACTTCTTTATAGAAAGTCACGTCCAAAGTAACATGCACCTTCTAGATAGGTGGATGATAGCACTTATAACCCTTCTAAGTAGAAGAGTTACCAATAAAAATACATCGCAGAGCACAAGGATCAAATTTACTCATTTGAAGGGAGTACACATGAACATAGGCAATACACCCAAAAACTTTAGGGGCCAACTTAGAGACGGAGACAAGGGAAACATGATCACTAAACACATTATGTGGAGTCTTGAAATCAAGAATCCGGCTAGGAGTACGATTAATCAAATCGGCAGCAGACAGAACAGCATGCCCCAAAGATGATAGGGAACAGACATATCCAATATGAGTGAGCAAACAACTTCAAGCAATTGTCGGTTCTTCTCTTCAGATGCACCATTTTGTTGAGGGGTAAAAAGGGTTGTCGTTTGGTAAATAATACCTTGAGCATGAAAGAAATATGCCAAGGTATTATTCACATATTCTTCTTCATTATCAGTTCGGAATACTTTGACCCGAGCCGGAAATTGAGTAGACATCGTAGTACAAAACTCTAGAAGGATGGAAGCAACATCATGTTTATTTTTCAGCAAGAAAACCCAAGTGAGTCGGGTACAATCATCAATAAATTTGACGAATCCGTTCGAAGTAACGCAAGCCCCACACATCGGAATGCACTAAATCAAAAGGCTTTGCAACTTTACTGTCACTCAAAGAATCGCAGTAGGATGGCTCTTGGCCAAAATACATGTATCACACTTAAAATTAGACTCATCACAAGAGCGGAATAAAGATGGAAACATATGCTTAAGATAGCCAAAATACGGGTGTCCCAAGCGGCGATGCCATAACTAAATTTGTTGTTTGTCTTTGACATTGCAACTTTGAACAGTATTAATGACACTGGTGCAGAAGGCAATGTCAAATAATATAACCCCCTTATCCGTTTACCATGCCCAATAGTCTCGTGAGTCTTGAGATCCTAAAAAGAGAAATGTGTATGATAGAAATTAACAGAACCATTAAGTGTATCAAGTAATTGACCAACACATAACAAGTTACAATGGATAGTGGAAACTAGTAACGCACGAGACAAGGACAGATTCGGAGTGAGAGATATTGTGCCCTTGCTAGTAATTGGAGAGGGCAAGCCATTAGCACTAGTTATATATGGGTCACTAGTGTTACTAGATAAGTCATCAAAAAATTTAGCATTATAATTCATATGATCCATGATTGCAACCGAAACTCAACATATCACGACAGAGTACACAGTGGAACACAACAGAGGCACAAATATAGTAGATGTACGAAGACAGACACGAACACAGAACACGGCAGAGTACATAGAAAATGCACAAATACGGTAGATGCACAAAGACAGGAACGACATGAACACAATAGAGGCACAAACACTACAACACAATACACAAACCCAGGAGAGCTCTGATATATTTTTATTCTCTAAAAGGAGGTATTTATAATACAAATGTGTAATCGTAGTATGGTTATACAAGGAAACAAATAAACTCCTAATTACACAAGATTTGTACAAAAGATAAAGAAATAAAATCCTAACAGAATAGGAAATAAAATCCTAATAAAATAGGAAATAAATCTCCTAATAGAATTAGGAGATTGCCCATCCTTAGGGCAACGCACAAGACTGAGCATGTGGTAACTCATTCGGCGGTTGATTAACCCGTTAGCTTAGCCGCGTGGTCAACATATCACAAAAAAAGTGACCTTGAAAGGTTTTTCAGCATCTAAGCAAAATAAATCTACCCTTTCAGTTTAATCTGCATCTACTTGAGTCCATTTACTGACTTAGGCATGGGAAATTCTACAACCTTTAATATTCATCTTTCCATGCAGTTCCTAAGGATAACATAATTTTAACTCCGGTTAACCTTCTATTCCCACCAAGTATGCAAGAGTTCTAACTTTGCATACTAGGAATTCATGAAAGAGGTTAGTCAAGCTTCTGGTCCCTAATGTAAGAGGTAGCTCAACGCTCCAGTAAGTCTGCCCAAGATACAGCTCAAAGCATCAGCTATAGCTATCCATTTTCAAAATGGCAACAGAAAACAAAAGTAGTCAACAGACTCAACACAAATTTTGGTTAAAAACATAAACTGAAACTTCAAATAGCAAAGCAGCCGATAGGCTCAAGTTTAACAGATATAGATGGTCAACATAGACCAATACTTAAAGAAAAATAAAGCTAAAAGCTACAAAGAAGAAAAAGTCTTCATCTGAGACTTCAACAAGCGACTCACCCTTGTTGATGTCCTCCTCAACTTGAGTCTCATCTGCCCTATGCTCTTCGGCTATAGCCTCATCAGCTACCTACTTATCGGCCTCACCTGTGAAGGAATCCTACTCACCTTAAGCAGTTGACTCTTCTAGAAAAAGTAGCTCAACCTTTTTCATTGAGTTGATCATTCGAGTTAT